TTTATACACTCTGCACGATGGTTTGTTATCTTGTAATTGGGCATCTGTTTTTGTTCTAGCTGTTAATATAACACTTCCTGCCGACATCTATATATCTTGTAGTTTATATTTTCAAAGTGGTCTTTCATTTTGCTGTCTTACTCTATCCTTAATAACAGCATGTGCTAGAACATGGAAAGCCACATGAGCGTTCAGCTATTATAAAGGAATTAGCTGGCAGGATAGTTCAAATGAGTCAACAGAAGTTTGCCTCCAATGTTGTAGAGAAGTGTTTGACATTTGGAGATTCTTCTGAACGCCAGTTACTAGTGAATGAGATGCTTGGCTCCACGGATGAAAATGAGCCCCTTCAGGTTTCTTTATACATTTTCTGTTGCTTTTTGATAATGTACAAATCCTTCCCTTTTTCTTTGTGGCAACTAGTCAATGCTTATTTTATGTTTGAGTTGATTCTTCTGAGAGACTGTGGTTGTTGATGTTGGGAGTGTCTTGTTTCCTGTGATTAATTCGGGTTTGGATTCTTTAATACCCCTCCCCCCTCCATCATGGAGCGAAAAGGAAGTCGTTGTTTTGAGCTCATTGCAAAACCTGGACTCCTGCTTTCTTTGTCATATATTTCCTTCACTAAGTTCAGAATTAAGCATTCCGATAGAGGTGATTAAATCCTGGTTATCCGTGACTGGTTTTCTTAGTCACTAGTTTGCTGCTAATGTGAAGTTCGTAGAGGCATGAAGTTAAATGCAATCTAATGTGAAGTCTTGCGATAGCTACCAGTTGACGCTGTCTCACTTTGCATCTGAGGTTCTTCAGACTGGAACATAAGAATGATTTATTGATCTGCTTTCACATATTTAATCTTGGAGTATATGGACACCTCAATGTAGTTTCCATGGAGGAATTTTTTTTTTAAATATTATTGCTATCAATATCTTTTTAGTCTTCCATTAGAGCAGCAATCCCCGGTGTGTCTTAATTCTTTAATAATGATAGACTACATTCCTCCTCTTCTAATTTACAGGCGATGATGAAAGATCAGTTTGCAAATTATGTTGTGCAAAAGGTGCTGGAGACTTGTGATGACCAGCAACGTGAGCTGATTCTTTCACGAATCAAGGTTCATTTGAATGCTTTGAAAAAGTACACTTATGGAAAGCATATTGTTGCACGCGTAGAGAAACTAGTTGCTGCTGGAGGTACACTCACTTACTCCATGATATTTCTGATTCGCTTACTTTGGTATCTAGCTAGTATGGCAGCATCTCTGAGGGTTACAGGTGCATGCTTATGTGGATGCATGTATATATAGAATATGCATTGATTGATACGCAAACTAGTGCAAGTCTGTTGTTTGAGATGGCCATATCAAATTTTTGTTGCAGAAAGGAGAATAGCTGCTCAGTCTCCTCATCCTCCTTAGGTGGGCATATAAAAAGGTTGTTTGTACAGCTAACTTTGGCGAGTGTGAGCTTTTCCTGCATCTAAAAGAGGTGATGAAAAACCTATCTTCTGTCGAGATAGGCAATAAAGTTTTCAGTTGTAATGAAGAACTGTACATTTTGTAGTGTTAAGTTTATACGTATAAAAATTAAGCGAAACAAGGTCCATATGTTTGAATACAGCTGATGCCTCTGCAGAGTAGATCAAATAACTATAGGAAGGACTTTTAAGGGTGTAGAGATTATAAAGATTCTGAGCTAGTTTTTTTACGTTGACGTGACTGTACAAAAATGTTGCCTGATGGAGAGCTGTTCATGTTTAGGCCAATTAATTGAGGCAGGATTTTTCTTTCTTGTTATGCTTTTGTCGGTAGCCTTATTGACTGTGTCCTCTAAATTAATGAATAAGAATATATAACTCTGAAGTACCAACATTTTCTAAAAAAAATTATTTTATTTTGGTTAAAGTATATTTTTAGTGTTTTAATTTTATACAAGATTTTAATTTGATTCTTTAATTTTGTAAAGTATTTTTTAAATTCTTTAACATTAACATTACAAGTTTCAAAAGATATTTTTGTGTCAATTGTCGTCATTTAAAAAAAAAATTAATATGTTTATATTTGAAACTGCTTTGTTAATAGTTAAAAGTTTAAGGTAAAAATTTGTTGAGATAAAATTAATAGTGTAAGAGTTAAAAGATTATAAAAACACTTTATAAAGTTATGGGATTAAAAAAAAGTATAAAGTTACAAGATTAGATGTATGTTTTGACTTTTTATTTTTACATTACAACTTATTTTGATGTTAAAAAATTGGAGAGCTGTTCATGTTTAGGCCAATTAATTGAGGCAGGATTTTTCTTTCTTGTTATGCTTTTGTCGGTAGCCTTATTGACTGTGTCCTCTAAATTGATGAATAAGAATATATAGCTCTGGAGTACCAACATTTTCTAAAAAAAATTATTTTATTTTGGTTAAAGTATATTTTTAGTGTTTTAATTTTATACATGGTTTTAATTTGATTCTTTAATTTTTTAAAGTATTTTTTAAATCCTTTAACATTACAAGTTTCAAAAGATATTTTTGTGTCAATTGTCGTCATTTAAAAAAAAATAAATTTAATATGTTTACATTTAAAAATGCTTTGTTAATAGTTAAAAGTTTAAGGTAAAAATTTGTTGAGATAAAATTAATAGTGTAAGAGTTAAAAGATTATAAAAACACTTTATAAAGTTATGGGATTAAAAAAAAAGTATAAAGTTACAAGATTAAATGTATGTTTTGACTTTTTATTTTTACATTACAACTTATTTTGATGTTAAAAAATGGGCAAAATAAAGGTACTGACTTTATCTTTAATTGGGGCAAGCATTTGGCTTTTTATTTTTAGGCAAAAAAAAATTATATTGAAGTTTTACATAAGAGAATTAATTATTATAAGTTTATTGATAATGAAATTAAATTGCATGTATTATTAATGTAATTCAGTTTACTTTGTCAATGAATTTTATAATAATTATTTTTTGTGTGTGTGAAACTGATGTAATTTAAAAAAAAAAAACAAGAAGTGTTCCTTTCTGCTTCAAAATGTCGATTCATGAAGTGGCTTTTATCCTTCTTTTCTGGGTCGAAAGTGCTTCTATCGTGTAATGGTTGTACTAATCTTGTTTTGCATGACCAAAGTAGAGGAAATACCTCAACTGGTCAAGATCTTTCCCCTGCTTTTATTTCTTGACTTTCCCTTGCTTGTAGCTAGCCTTTCTAATAATAATAATAATAATGATAAAAATATGGTCACACTCATTCGCCAAAAAACATTGAAAAATCAAGTGGTTTAACAAGTCAGTTACTGATCCAAGTAAACATCCTTTGACTTGAAATGAAATGAATAGAGATGGAAGAATTGGCTTGTCGGAAAACTCGAAACGAGAAGCAATGCGCTTACAGAAGACGGGTAGAGGTCTGCAAAAAGAAGTTGTATTATTTTGCACTCTTGGTCTCTTCCCTCTTTCCGATATCTACGTTTTTCTTCACTCGTTTGCTGCATATTTCTGAACATTCTTTCTCTTTATAATCTTGAATTCTTTATCCCTCCAAGTCGATATTACTTGGATCTTGAATTCTTGCGCTCTTGCATTTTATCTCTTCTATTTACCATTTTTGGAAATAAATCAGACGTAACTTTCTATTTATGTTCCTTTCAAATTTACTGTTCAAGATTCCCAACAGTGAGGCCTAGGAATTATTTCGGACTTTGACACTCACCTGATTTACTGTTCAGGCAATTATAACAAGTTCCCGATAAGAAATCTGAATTTTATAGAATTTGGTTGGAACTAATTTTCTTTTAAAAGACATAAATTGTCTTAGAATATGTTTGGTTTGAGGGAAGCGGATGAGATGGAGGGAGGGAAGAATTTTAATATTATCTTATTTGATTTTATTAGAGGGGAGGGTTTTTAATAATTTTTTGTTTGATTTAGGAGAGAAAGTAATAACTAATTTATTATTATATCTCTATACATTAGTTTACTTTTTTAATTTTTCTTATAAAAAATAATTTTACACCTCAATTTAAATTGTATGATTTTTTAAAAAATTTACTTTCATCCTATCATATTGTCAACATGTAAAAAAAATTAAATCAGTAATTATAATGGTAATAATTTTTTATAAAAAATAAATAACTCAATATATAATAAAATATGATGAAATGTAACTTTTTTTAAAAAAAATTCAATAAAGTCAGTTGAGGTTTGAGAGTGAAATACAATCTGATATGAATGAGAGTTTTTTTAATTATGAGCATATTTAAAATATTAAAAAACTGATAAGTGCAAAATAATTAAAAAAATTAGCTTTCCTTCAAAAAACTCTAATTTAAAAGGGAGTAATATGAGAGGTAAGGAGGGAAGGGGTTCAAAATTCTTTAACCAAACACACCCTTAAACTCTTTTGACTCATTAATTGGCGTTTGACAAATTATCAATAGGTTTTGACTGACCTGTAGCTAGCGAGAGTTGATAGATCACCGGTCAATTTTTTTTTTTTAAGATTGTTTAAGATATATTTTTATTAAAATATTTTTATTTACAGTTTAAGATTGTTTATTAAAATATTTACCAGTTAAACAGAACAGATTTGCAAGTAAACTTTTAAGACTCACAAATTCAAAATTTTTATATTTACAAATCGAACATCTTAAATTAAATCTACAACTTATAAATATTAAATATTAATATTAATTAATATTATTTTATATAGAGTATGTCCTCTTGAATATTCTTTTTTGGGTGGCATATACTTTTTATTTTCTTTTTAAAAATAAAATAGTTTAGTACTTTAATAATAAAAAATTATACTTATTTTTTTAAATAAAAATATATAATTTTAATATATATATATATATATATATGCGCGCGCTTATACATGAAATTGCCATTAATCTATTACCATTATTCAGGCAAAAAAAGAATTGCCATTCATCTATTATTCACACCGTATATATATATATATATATATGCGCGCCCGTGTAAAATTGCCATTATTCAGGCAAAAGAAAAAAAAAAATGAAAAAAGGTGCCATTATTCACGCAGTCGTGTATTTGGTGTTTGGTATCTGGGATTGAAGCCCGTACCGCCTCTCCTAACTCGGGATGCTTTCATTTTCCATTGCCATTTTCACCGCCATATTGGGTGTGAGAAGGTAAGAATCAGGCAACATGAAGAAGGAAGACACTGTAAAGCTCATCAGCGCCGAGTGATCCGAATTTGTGGTCGACAAAAAAGCAGCTATGGGTTCACAGACGATACATAACATCGTCACCTCCCCGGGTCTGTTCATTCTTCGCTACCTCATTTACGCATTTATTGTTTTTGTTTTTTTTTTTTTCAAGGAGGGTATGAAACCCTTAAAGATAATAATAGTCTGATGGAGGGATTTCTTTAACAGGTAATTTCCTTTACTGCGCTAAGCTGTGTTTTAGATCCCTCAGACCTTCCTTGCTCCTGCAAAACCTTGCTAATTCTTCCATACCCAATAGTAAATTCAGTCATCGACGTGATTTTAATCCTCTCCTATTCCAATCCGAATCCGATTCGCCTTCCTGCTGGAAGTATAGGAAGCAAACAAGAGGTAGTATCACTCTTCTTAAAGCCAGCCGTCGGGAGTCTCCTTATGAAGTTCTGGGTGTGTCTCCATCAGCTACGGCAGATGAAATCAAAAAGGCATACAGAAAGCTTGCTCTTAGGTATCATCCCGATGTCAATAAAGAGGTAATTGGTATGTTTGAATCCTTCCTGATTGTTGTGTGCAATCCTTATGGTTCTCTTTTCTTTCATCCGCGTTTCTTTTTATTTCATTTTACGAGTAACGAAAGTGACTCTATTTTGTTTTGTTTTTAGATGTCGCTTAAGAATACAAGATGATTTTGTAATTTTTGGTGGAAATTAGTCCTGGTGGTCTGGTAATTAGCAGTGCAAAAAATGGAATCTTTTCTCCCATTTTCTTTGTACAAAGGAGAAAAAAATACTTCAGATTTTTTTTATCACACACGGTTGAGATGTAAGAGAATAAGGTAGAGAATGAAATCGAATGCAGAAAAAGAACATACAAACTCACACTAGAAGGAAGTTTTATATTATGAAAAGTGAAAACTGAAGCCAAATTATAGTTGGAGGCATCTAGAGATGACTATTTATTTATGACCTGTGTGGGTGTATTACAAAATAGTAACTGGGTCAACCAGGTCGTATGGAAAACGCAGTGGTCCTTATATCTTCGTATTTGCATTTTTTATTTGCCTACTTCTTATCCAGGATTTCCTTTATCCTTACCTTAGCTGTACGAATTAGTTGAAGGCCAAAAAATAATGTTACTAGAAATGGTAATGTCCCCTCTATTAGTGCACTGTCCTGTGGTTCATAATATTCAGAAAGAAAATTCCTCCCAACAAGAGGAATAAAGAAATAGAAACCTAGTGCCCTATTTGGTACAATGAAAGAGTTTTTGACTGAAGTGGAAGTGGGTTTTAAAGTATGTTTGGTATGTTCACGGAAGTCTAATATAATTTTTATTTAATATATGTAAAGTTGAAAAACTGATAACCCAGAAATCATTGAAGCTGATGGGAAGTGGTAGCAACAAGATGCATGCACCAAGTTGAAACTTCCTGATTTTGTTATGGATTTTATGACCCTGTCTACTCATATTACTTTGACCAATATTTCAAAGTAAATTTAATGTAGCTTAAAATGGGAAGATGAAGCTTATTGAAGTTCTTTTTTTATCATCTTTACAGGACAAGGCGCAGGAGAAGTTTATGAGGATAAAACACGCGTACAATACATTGATAAATTCTTCTTCGCGTAGAAAATTTGATTCTGGGAATAGTGGTTCTGATCCTTATTATTCCTCTCGAAGTAGCCAAAGTGGTACTGCAAAAGCAGAAGAATTTTATGGATTAGGTAAAGAGCTCTCATTATGCAATCCTGGATAAATATCTGCCAGGTTGCCTTTATACCAGTGAACCATTCTGGTTCCTGGAAAATCCAAGTTCATGTACTTAATTCACGGGGAAAAAAGTTGCCAGGAAGCATATTGAGTCTTGATTGCTATGTTTTGTTTGTTTGGAGTGGAAAAATTTTTAGCCAATTCACTATCCTTTTCCCCATTATTCTGGAAAGATGCCTGTTCACCATGTTGATTTTACATCCACGGACCTCAGTTATATATAATTTGTTTTTTCCTAGCACATTCTTTTTAAACTATATCTTTACTTCCAACTGTTGAGAAATAATTTCAGAATCCTTTATATGCTTCCTGATTGGATTGGATGTCTGTCTTATGGTTAACAACTTTGTGCTGCAGGTAATTTTTTGAGCGATGTTCAAATAACAATAGGTAGATATGTACTCTCAGTTAGACATCATGTCAACCATAATTTTAACTTGCATTTTTACAACTACTGTTGGGCATCAATTTTGTGTTTCCCTGCATTTTATAAGCGTGCAAGTCTGTGAATGGGCGGGGGAATATCTCTACTAAATTGTTATTACCTTGTATGATTTGTTCGTGTATTGCTTGAGATCTGATTAATGTTATTACAGAGGAATTTTTCAAAGATCTTCAGGAAGAATTCAGGAACTGGGAAGCAAACTCTACTTCACAAGGAAAACCGAAGAGCCTATGGGAGGAATTGGCGGTAGGAACTTGCATTTTTTTGTTTGTTTTGGTGTTGGAGTTCTTGTTCCCGCACGACGCTTGGCTTATGAGCTTCTACTATAGTTGTCTGAATGAAATGAAAAAAGAGAAAGAGGAGTTCTTATTTGCGCGCAGTCTATTAAGTTCTTGATGGCTGATCCGTCTTTTGAAACTGTGGCTGACAATGATCAACATGGGAAACTGATCATATGAGATTTTACGTTGCAGGAAATAGGAGAAGAATTTGTGGAGTTTCTGGAGAAAGAACTTAATATTGTTGATCCAGAAGTCGATTCAAATGACAATTATAAAAAGCCTGGGGAGGGAAATCCTTCTCGTACTTCTGCCGGCAGTGGGCCTCGAGATGAAACTGGCAAGGGGAACAGCAGCATCCAGGATAACCTTGATGAAATAGAAGCTACTCTTGCTCAGTTAAAAAAGGAATTAGGTTTGTAGTCGAAATAAGATTACTTTTATGGCTGGTTGAGGTTGACTCCATGATGTAAAATGTTTAATTATTGCTGGAAAATAAAAAAAAAAGAATATTCAATTGTTGGATAAACATAAAAGCTATGTAGTATATACTCCAGCCTCACGGTCCATAGGAAGCAAGACGTAGATGTCTTTCACTGAATGAAAAAATAACGCTACAAAAATCCCGAACTTGAGATATTGTATTAACCTGTCTGGAAATTCGATGCGCAGGAGTTAGCATGTAAAATGTAACTCATGGGGCACGCTTGTCCCATTACAATTTACATGTGCAATGTCTCCTTTTGTTTTTTGTTTTTTTTTTCGGGGGGGATAAATTTACATGTACAATTAAATTTTGCAGCAAGCTGTGAAAGGAAGAGATCAGATAGTCGTTCTCAATGACTAGATAGTAACTAGGAATATTAACTACTATGAAATCTCAATCTTCATGATGCTAAATGACCAATTTTTTTTTAAATAAAAAAAAATCATGATACGTTCCAATCAGTACTACCTCGAGGGGGTTTCTGCTGCGCCAAGCTCACAGAATAGGGGCCTCCGAGAAGATGACCGACACAACCACCACATGACCATGGAGAACAAGCCCTGGCGGTGGTGCTTTGCAAGCACCTTCATCTACGGAAATCAACTGGATAAATCGTCTCAGTTAGCTGGTGACGATTAAAGAATGGGAAATTGCTGCCCATTCCAAGGCCTTGATCCTCCTAACATTTACCTTGAAATTAACCTTGCCAGCGGATAACTTGAGATGACCAGTTCTTCCAGGCACAACATTCACTACAGTATTTACAATTGGGTGTGAGTCACCCGTCATTTCAAAAGTCCACAAGACTGCTGATGTCAGTTAAGAAAAAGGGCAGAAGAAGATAATATTCAGATAAAATGGCGCATGGTCCAGACCATATTCATTTCCTCATAAATGTAAGGCACGTAACCCCAGAAAGAATAGAGTGTTGCCATCTGTACAAGAGAATGAGGAATACTTGAAATGCATAAACAAATACTAAGAATTAGGCTTTAATATTTTGGACTGAGGCCTTGTCTTCACAATGTCAGAGAATATTAAAAAAAGCAGTATAATAATAAGAAACCTCATCTCCAGAAGACGACCCCTGCAAACTCCAACCATGGCATCAAGTCATCATTCCATCGCCTACCCAACATTGCTTTTAGCAAGGTGTGGAATATTCACTATCATCGTTTTGATTGCTGGAAGGGACCTGCTATGCCTTGCATTATTTGTGAGTACATATAATTTAATACTTTGTTTTAATTAGTATAAAGGTATGATAATATGTGATTTTTGATATATAAAATGCATATACTAATTTTTTAAAAGAAAAAGAGCCAAACAAGCTAAGATAATTAATGAAGATAGGATTAATTAACCTGTTTTTAGAAGGCGTGGCCTGGTCAAATACCATAAGAGGAAGGTAGAAGTGATGGTGATGTGAAGCAGCAGGGCAATGCGTGAGGAGGAAGCCCGGAGAGGGCGTGGACGGTGCGTATTGATTCCTTCGATCATTGCGCCCTGCAACAACCACGGAAGCAAATTGCTGGAGGACGCTCCATTTTTTGTTGGGTTCAATTTCACCATCCGACTCGCCAAATATCATATAAAACGCTCTCACCAGCTTACTTCACCTCAATTGCCATTTCTATTTCATGAACGAATCTGAAGAAATGGCTCAACTCGAACGCTTCCCTAGACAAGTAAATGCCTCCAGATCTGTCGTCACCTCTCCCAGCGTGGAAAAAGTCCTTCGAGGTAATCAAATCCCTTCCCTTTCCATCACGCCCTTCATTCTACAAATCTTCAGACTCCTGTTACGCAATGCATGCATTCTTGTTAACAGTTACAAACCAACCATGCAAAAATGTAATCATAATAATTCTGAAATTAAACAGTTTTGGGATGCTTATAAGGACACAAAAGAAGTTCACTTTTAAATATTAGAAGATCGATATTAGCTTAGAAACTATTTAATTAAATGATTTAGGTTATTTTGATTGAATATATTATCTTTAAATATATTTAATATAAGAAAAAAAAGTAATTGATGAAATATTAAAATATAAGAGAAGTTTTATGCTTAAAAATTTAAAAACAAATCATAAATATTTAATTTAGGAAGTACGTAACTAAATTGTTTAAGTTATAAAATATATTATTCTTAAATATATTTTGTATAAAAAAAATCTAATATTGCCGCCAATCGTGGATGCTTTTTTCAAGCATGTCGTTCAAGATTGTGCTTTTCATTCGAGTTTCAGGGGGTGAATCCTCAAAGCTGGGCTCTCCCACCTCCAACGGCCCCACTTCGCCTTTATCCGAAGACGACAGTGGCGCCCCTCAGAAGAAATCCGTGCTCTCCAAGGTGAAGGAAAAGGCCAAGAAATTACGCCACAGTCTCAGCAAGAAAAAGCACGACGACGGTAATGTCACCCCCACTTGGGGCGTTCCCGTAGAAGATGAGGAGGAGGAGGAGGAGGAGGAAGACGCGGAATACCTCGGAGCTCCAAGTAATATAATGTTATTTGCGTCCTTTGTTCCCTCAAACTTTTCTTCTGTCTCTCTGTCATCCCGTAAATCTGTTTTTTTGCTCCTGTATATTTCAGTGTACGAATCGGAGCTAGCACCCGAAGCATACAAAGAAAACGCGAGGCAGCATCCCAGAGCGACTCCGGTAATTGCCGAGAACCATGTTTTGCACAACCCTTTAAATTCCAGAGGTGAAATGGATCGTCAAAAGCCACTCGGCAACTGTGCGGAGTCAAAGAGAACGACATCATCATCATCATCATCATCTTGCAGCGGCCACAAGCCCTCTTGGTTCGAACAAGACAATGAGTGGGAACGGAGCCGAGAAACTCACGCCAGCAAATGCGAAAGGATCAGACGCGGGCCATTGCATTTCGTCTAAAACGCAAGGCCTCACCGTTTCGAAACCCCCGGATACTCTAACTCCAGCATCGTCTCGTAAGTCTCCTCTGTCGGTGACCACTACGACAGCGACCCAGCAGACTCCTCCTGCCAAGACTGCCACCAGAATTTCTCCGGTCGCGTCAAAGGCTCCGCGCTTTTCATCAGCCCCATCGACTCCGCGCAAATCATCACCATCCGCGTCTTCTACGCTGAATATGAAGAACAGCACCGTCGACGCCAGCGACCAAGTATGGGACAAGGGTGTGTCGGTGAGAGAGTATTTCAAGAACAAGTTGGAGCCAGGGGAAGATGAGAAAGCTCTGTCTCAGGTGATATCAGAAGCAATGAGTCCCCGGAGAACTCCCGGTGATGTGGGCGTCATGGAGAAGGTGAGAGAAGCTGTCACTTCATTGCTCCGAAATGAGGAACCATCACAATATTCTGTCGGAAGCCCAACCCTACGCACCTCGTCTCAAAACCCTGTACTACTATCTAGCAACGTTCAGCAAGGTACTATGATCATGTCCATTTCACAGTTTCATGCCGATTATATATATCGTTCCTCCAGGATTGCATTTGATGATTTTTTTTTTTTTTTGGGCAGTTGGTGAGGAAGAGAACCATGGCAGAATCCTTCAGACTAATTGAAAATCTCCACAGGGCGTCTCATGCTCATTTGTATATATATATCCAACTATTTTCTCCCTCTTTTTTTTTCCAGCATATATTTGTGTATGTACTTAATAATTACCATCGAAAAGATCATTTCCATCCATTTGTAAACCAAGGTTTGCTTGTAATAACCCTGCGTGGGCCATGCTCTGACTTTGAAGGGTTCCTTCTATGAATCCTGTGTCTTTATAATTCTGACGATTCTTCAATCACGAACAGCAAAATTAAAGGCCACTCGCCATTGATTTAAAAAAAAAAATCAAAGAAAAACTCATTTGAGTTACGTGGGCAGATGTAGTTCGGTTTGATCCTTAATAATATTCTATGATGCACCTTAAGCGATTAAACATCTGTCATTGAGGACCAAATTTCAATGGATCAGGGAGAGTTTTAGTGGATTTGGATTCCATGCGTGTAGTTGCTACATACACCGGATGCATGTTTTCACATGGCACAATCATATGCTATCAATTAAGTCAATGGTCTTAGGAAGCTTTATATAATCAGATACTCAAAACATAGAATCAAATCTCTTAACAGCATTACAAGGGCAACCAGCCAGTGGCGCTAACATGAACAAGAGCGAGAGGAGCACCCATCACACCAAGAAAAGAAGCCTCATATCATTATTCCTATCGGCCATTGTTCGGCTCTAAACCCTCCATCGTCAGCGTCAAGGTCTCACCCAACGGCCTCACTAGCGACTCTTCCGATCAACGAACCACAAAGTTGCCATGGTTGCTATGCTTCTTTCTTCGAAGAAGACCAGAAATGGGTGACCCAGTTATCTCCGCACTGCTGGCCTGAGAACACGTCGGCTACAAGCCACGAACTACCTCATCCTTCAAGCGAAGAAGAAACCATTCTTCTTTTCCATCTTTAGTTGTCAGAGAAACAATAATTTGAAAGTCCGAAAATGAGAGAAGCAGGATTTCTGCAGCGAATGGATCAATGGATATAAAGCTAAGAAGGAAGACAACTTCTATAGAGAGAGAGAGAGAGAGAGAGAGAGAGAGTAAAGGGAGGAGAGAGAGAGTAATTTTTGCCAAGCTAGCCGGCAAGAGTATAATATAATAAAATAAGCATTTCTTAAAGAGATTTGGATTAAGTGTTTTAAGCATATGATTGCATAAAACTTTTTAAAATCACTAATTTAGTTGATAGCGTATGATTGCGCCACGTGTATAATTTAAAAGGCCAAATGTTACTGTAGACACACTGATTTGCAAATAATCTGCTTCATTTAATTGGCAGCGAAACCGGTGCATTTTAGTATGGTTCAGGGTCCCCTCGTTTACCCCATGTCAAATTGTCAAGTGCGTAGCCTAGTCACTAGGCGGGTCCGAGATTAGAAAACACATGCAGTATTTGAGATGACTAGACATGTATAACATCTAAATAATAATAATAATAAATAAATAAATAAATAAATAAACTTGAACGGCGACGGCCTCCATTAATCCCCCTCCCCATGCTCTCCTTCACATTTTTGACAACACCTGACGCTCTCTAAATATATTTCCAGCCTTGTAATAGAAGATTGTACATTCGATGGTATTTGTAATGGATGAATCATTTCCTGATTCCCCCGTGTTGTCTTAGTTTTCCCCTGCACAAGTTGTCTATCACTTTGAATGAGTTCAAAGTCTCTCATCATCATGGCGTCTAATCAATTTATATGGTTTAATATGTTGCTTTCTTGAGTTCTTTCTCTCTCTTTTTTTAAATGGATAAATTTAAATGATTGAGGCCCAGAAGAACGAATTCATCGGGGGATTTTCTTCTTTCTTTTGTTTTTTTTTTTAAACTAAAATTAGTGGGGATTTGACAAGAAAGATGTCCTGAACATCAAGGGGAAACAAAAATTGGTGTTTGACATTGTTGATATTGTGTATAATGAGTCAATGGGTGAGGTGAAGGAGGACGAGAAGTGCATCAAATTGAGGAGGAGAAATTGTTTATAGTTGAATGGGCATTCTCTGATACCCTCTCCAGCACACGGCATCACCTTGCAGATTTTTATTTCCTCACAGGGCTTACCTGTGGTTGCTACCTGCTCAAACATTTTCTGTTGTAGTTGGATCTGCCGCTCTCGCTAGGATGCATATATATACTGATTGATTTCTGTCCGTAGGATGATATGAACGCAGGATTCTTACGCTCTGTGATTATTAATAAACTGATGATGGGCCTGGAGCTGGACAAGACTACGAGCCACCAACCCCATATGGCATTGCGGCTCCCCATTGCCTTCATTCCCACGTGCCTGACGGCATCCTCCTTTTCATGCATGTTTGATTTTTATGTGGAGTTTGCTAAATTCTAATCGGCCCTCAACTCTGGAAAGCAAGTTAAATTGCGCACGTATTTTATAAGATTATTATATCTCGCTTTTATGATCAAATAAATCCTTTATGCCCATAAATTCTTTGAATACGTAAAAGTCAAAAACAACAAAAACAAAAGAAAAGAGAGATGATCTTGGAGGAAAACGTGGAGCCTAGCAACTCCTCAACCGTTCATGAAACATTCAACAATATAGTGCCTGTTTGTTTTGCATCCAGAATCAATTTTGTTGGTGTTTAATCAATTTTTAAAACAAAATTAGCCAAACAGCATATAATTTCCATAATCGATTAAGCGTGCTAAAATTGATTTTTTTTTAAAGCTATTCATACCTGCTTCTGGTTCTAATTTCACCATATTAATTTGTCAATAATTCATAATTATATTAAATAAAATTTAACAAATTTAATAATTATATATATAAATTTATCAATAATTAATTTTGTATGATATTTAATTATTGAGCCATAATCAGGTTTTGAAATAAATTTTGTGAGATTATTTATAGATTCAATTTTATTATTAAATAATATATTTTACTTTTTAAATAAAGTTTAATAAATTTATTAACATTAAATTTAACTTTATCAATAATTTAATTTTAAAAAATAATATAAAATTAATTCAAACATGTGACGTTATAATATAATTAATTATAATTAAAATTAATTATATTAATTAATTATTTTATACTGAATTAAAATTTAAACGGACATATAAATGCGAACGGGGCGTGACGTCCTCACTTCTCTCTTCTCACTTCTCACTCTCAGCACCATAGAGAAGCAGAACGCTTGGTGTCGGATAATTCCGCACCGGATAAACCCCATCCACGTGGCTCCGTCCAATTCGCCAGATTTCTCGTGCCTCTTCCTTGGAGATAATTCAGTCACACAACCCGACGAACAAAATCGAGCTCACAAAAAGGCCGAGCCAGCTGATCAGGCGAGGGTCGTCTGGGAATTCTCTCTCTATCCGCCCATGGCTCCCACCCTCACTTCCAATTCATCTCTCCTGACCAGCGCGCCCCATTCGAGACTGACCCCCTGGAACCCCAGGCTCCGCGTCATTGCCAAGAAGTCTGGATCCTTCCCTCCCCTTCGCCTGGGCAAACCCCGGGATGATTATTCTTCTGATGGAGGATCACCGTCGGACAGCCCCGCTAATTCCAATCCCTTCCGTTTCGACTTTGGCAAGATTCCTGACGTCACCTCTTTGATCCCGGTTCCCAGAAATCCCACTTCGCCGGGTCTGTCATTCGGCACCCCCAGGCGCAAGGACCCAGCTACAGTGTTTGTTGCCGGAGCCACTGGGCAGGCCGGTATTCGAATTTCACAAACTCTGCTCAGGCAGGGTTTCAGTGTCAGAGCTGGTGTCCCCGAACTTGGTTCTGCACAAGAATTGGCTCGCCTTGCTGCTCAATATAAGGTATGCTCCATCCAATTCTGGCACCTTCGAATTTCCAATTCCTGTGTATCTGATTAAATGGACTCGAGTTCACATTGCTTGCTTTGTTTGTTAGATTCTTTTCTTCCTTTCTTGTAATCCTGAAAGAAATATAACCATTTGAAATTCCCCTCAAATGGGTTCTCGGGTGTACTCGTGCAATTCATAGGGCAAGCAGAACGCAATCATGGTCGTTAGATAAAATTCAAACAAATTTGCATTTGAATAAAAAATTGATATGCAAAGTTGTGCCGAGTAATTGTCAGTTCCCACTGTATCATCGCAGATTATATCAAAGGAAGAATCAAAGCGCTTCAATGCAGTGCAATCGAGCTTCGAAGATGCGGAATCAATAGCCAAAGCAATAGGGAATGCTAGCAAAGTAGTTGTCACGATTGGGCCCGCAGAGAATGGTCCAACTTCGGAGGTCTCCACATCGGACGCCGTGCAAGTAGTCCAAGCTGCCCAACTGGCCGGCGTCAGCCACGTCGCTATCATCTACGACGGGAACACTTCCGGCGCGTCGACATACAATGTATTGGATGGCATCTCGTCGTTCTTCAACAACCTGTTCTCACGGTCTCAGCCCTTGAGTGTACCAGAGTTCTTGCAGAAAGTGATTGAGACGGACGTCAGCTATACCTTTATCAAGACAAGTTTAACCGATGATTTCTCGCCGGAGAGTTCCTACAACGTGGTCGTCTCAGGTGAAGGAAGCGCAGGAGCAAACGACTATAAAGTAATGTAATGTATGAGATAATATCTAATATGTATATCGTCTTCTTCTTCCTTTTCACTCTCTCCCTTGATATCCATGTTTCCATCTTTTCTGTCTAAAACTTGGTAGAAAATGATGATTATCAGGTTGCCAAGTCCAAGATAGCATCACTAGTGGTGGATGTTTTCTTAAACACAGAAGTAGCAGAAAACAAGGTACCGATTAGTCAATTACACATGGACATGTGCGTATCATTACTGGAGATTGTTGAGTTTATTTCTAATAAGAGAAAGGGAATGGATTCAAGCTGGATGTTGACTAATTTACTTTTTGGCAAATTCTTTTCGCTTTTTTCAAATAGGTTGTGGAGGTATACGCGGATCCAGAAGCCCCAGTGAAGCGCGTTGTAGAACTTTTCAGGTAAGCGGTATCAGATTGTTTGCCTGTCAGAGATAACTACAAAATTGGTCAAATTATAAAATCAAGCTTGGAAATGATCTATTAATGTTGCTTCTTGCTCGTCTTTGAACAAATATACATGACATGAAGAAACTTGTTTTGTTTCTTTTCTTCTGGAACGATGCAATCATGTGATACGAAACTATCTTCTTTAATCGAAGAACTGGCATGCAAATGTCTAAAAGCTGGACTTTGTTTCTTGATTTAAATACCAAGAATATAACTCGAAGAATCGGTAGAGCTGTAGAACACTTAGTGGGTAAGTAGTGTGTGTGTAACTGAATTGTGAATTTGATTGCAGGACAATCCCCGAGGATGGAAGAAGGAAAGCCTATGCAGAAGCAGCTAAGAAGGCTAAAGCAGAGGAAGAGGCAACGGTGGCCGCAGAAAGAGCTCGTGAAGCCGCGGAAGCAACAAAAAGCTGGAAGAAGAAGTGAAGAAGCTGTCGAAGGAAGAAGCGAGGGCTGCCAGTCTAGCTTCAGAAGCCCAACAGAAGGCGGAGGCTGCCGGGGCTTCCGTAGATGCCCTCCTGAACAAGGCAAGAGATTTTGGTGCAGGCATATCGTGGCAGCGGTTGAGCTTACAGTTGGCCACCTCGATGCAAAACCAAAAGTCCGACGAGGATGAAAAACCCAAGGTACAGCTTGCCACTGTGAGGGGACAGGCCAAGGCTCGGAGTCTCCCACCAAATAAGGCAGTGGTTAAGCAACCGAGCAGCCCTGCCGCTAAACGAAAGGAGGATGAGGCAAAGCAAACGGAGAAAACGGCGGAGGTCAGGAGCGTATTTGGCGGCCTGTTCAAGCAGAAGACTATCTATGTTGATGATGACTAGCCATCATCATAACTCTTGAGGGTACTTCTCTGGTGCCTGAGGCCGTGTCATTGCAAGATTATTTGCTTTGAACTTGCGTCTCTGTAAAGTTTCATGACTTTAAGCCAGATATATCGTGTACTTGTGCTAGTTCTAGATTTCTAGTGAGATTAAGGGCAAGGCAAAAATAATAAAACAGGTTTTCCCCCGTCTTCTTGGACTTCTGCTGGTGTCTGCACATCTGGCCTATGGGCAACAACAAAATAAATCAACTTAGGCCCTTTGCATCTGAGTAACGACAAGTCACTCTAAGCTACTGTACGCCAGGGTTCCAATTAAAATTCAGTCTTGAAACTTTAATTTGGTACAACTCTAGTTATATAATTCACTCTTGCCAATGTGTTTCCTGATTCTCTTAAAAAAATTTGTATAAATTTGATCCATTAAGTTATTTATAGTTTATTCAATGAAAATATATCATGTAGATGTTTATAAATATTAATTTATTCTGACATTGATGAAGATGATGAAAGAAAAGATAAAAAATAAAATTTTAAAAATAAATTCATTAAAAATAATAAAACAAGAGATTTTATTTGATTTAATTATATTAATATGGCATATTTTTATTAAACAAATCATAGATGATATGGTAAATCATTTTTGGGGAAGAAATTATTTTAGAAAAGAAAGGAAAGGAGAAAGCAAGGTAACGGTTTTGCAAGCCTTCGAATATCTTCTACCACAATATCAGATTTTGAACTTGATCAATCACATTCATAGCTGATTCGGAACTTTTGTGAAGCAAATAACCTCAACCTCTACAATGTCAACCTCATCTTCCTCCTCCCTCTCTCTTCTTCATCGTCAACCATAGACCTAATCCATAGAACTCAAACATCGATTTGGCTAAAATAGTAGCAAGAATCAGTTGAAACAACTTCTATCACCTAAAAGAAGAAGCACCATCACCAGAAGTAGCAACACCATCGTTCAAATTTGTAACCATGTGTCACAAGGCCATTATTTTGTCTTCAAAAAGCTAATTCATTAGAGTGTGTAACGCACTAACTTATATAGTTAGGATCCTCCTTAAGTCCTTCTAATATGGGAACTAACAACTCCCTCAGCTGACTTGTGATGGGATTCGTGAGGCTCCCATTACAGGTGGCTCACCGATTGAACAAACTTACGTTTAGCTTTGATACTATTTTGTCATAGGGTCATTACTCCTTCTCTAAAAAGCTAGGTCATTTGGGTGTGCAATACACCCACTTATATCATCGAGACCCTCCCTAAGTCTCTACAATATGGGATATGACACGTGGTTTTGAACTCAAACAGTAACGGCTTCAAAGAACGTCTTCGCCCATGATCTTCAAACCTCCTTTTCCTTTTCTCAAACCCCAATTCCATTGAAACAAACAGAGCTTAAAGTTGTTTTAAGATTTAATGGCTGATAATAAAACTATAATGATTGAATTTTAATGGGTTGAAGTTTTGGTACTAACTAGTGAATTGTATTCGATTCAAAATTATGAGAATCAAGTTATATCAAGTTAAAATTTAGAGATTGAGTTATGGTCGAGTTAAAATTATAGAATCAAAAAAAATTAAATTAATAATTTTTCCCAATTAAATTTAAAAATGGAAAATAATAAGGAAATTAAAAAAATGAGTGAAGAGAAGGGAATCATTTCTATATCTTTGGTACGTTTTGTATAAAAAATATAAAATCTGTGTTGACCTTTTTTAACAAAATCTTGTACTATAACAAGATGCAATTTATTGTTGTATCAAAAGAAAAATGCAATCTATTGTTCTGATTGCAATCATCTAGTGTTTTTTTTTGTTTTTTTTGGTAGAGGCCTAGTTTTATTTTAGGAAAAATTATGTATAGGTCTCGTAGAGTAGACTTGCTTACCAATAAGTCTTGCAAAATTCAAAAATCACAACCAAGTCTTTTGGGGCCTGAGTGTAATTTGAAATTAGGTTACAAACGCAATAATACATCTATTAAACATATATTATATCAATCAAATAATTAATTTATAATTACTTCACTAGTAATTTACAATTATAATTTCAACTTTTTACAATTATAAGTTTACATATCTAAAAGTTAAACAATCATATGTTATTAATAAAGTTAAATGTTAATTATTGTAAATAACTACTTCATCAGTAATTTACAACTATAATTTTTATTTTTTACAACTGTAACTTTACATATTCAATAATTAAACTGATCAATTTAATTATTATTGGATATATGAAGTTGCAGTTATAAAAAGTAAAAGTTATAGTTATAAAATCTTGATAAAGTAGTTGTAAATTATTTGACTGATCTAATATGTGTGTGTGCATGTGTGTCTGTCTGTTTGTCTAATAGGGATATTATTGTCTTTTGAATTCAATTTCAAATTACACTCAAATCCCAACAGATCTAGTTGTAATTTATAAATTTTATGAAATTTATTTATAAATAAGTTTACTCTATGAAACCTATATGTAATTTTTTCTTTATTTTTATCTCCTTTGTGCATTATAAATTCTAAATTCAAAATATTCACACAGAAATATTTTAAATTATGCATTGATCTTTATAGATAGTTGGTCCGATCATATAGTTTGCCTTTGGGCAACTTGATTTGGATTCCTTAAATTGAGAGTAATGGTGGCACAGCCCTAACTCACCAAAGGCCTCTCCCCCTGGACTTTTGCCATGCTAGACACATCTCTCCCTAGGCCACACACAGGATAACCTCTTAAGAGAGCGTCAGGAGACAATGCTTTCCCACAATAGTACGTAGGATTATTCTCTTGCGATAAATACCGTAAGGAGAGCCTCCCCAAATTGGCTCAATGGTATCAAGTTCAGCCTCAACTTTGTTGAGTAAGAAAGATTGGAGGATCAAATTTAGGGAGGCTCTCCTCGTGATATTTATCACAAAAGAATAATCCCACATACTATTGTAGGAAAGCCTTATCTCCTGATGCTCTCTTAGGAGGGATCGTCCTATGTGAGGCTAAGAAGAGGTGTGTCCAACATGACAAAAGTCTAGCAAAAGAGGCCCTTAGTGAGCTAGGGCTGTTAAATAAAAGGACTTGGCTCAGTGATATCAGGCTTAACCTCAACTTTGTTAACTAGGAGAGGTTGGAGGATCGAACTTGGGAAGGCTCTTCTCATGGTATTTATCATAGGAGAATAATCTCACATACTATTATGGGAAAGCCTTGTCTCCTAATGTAATATCCTCAATTTCAAATCAAGTTAATTAGACTCAAGTAGACTAATTAAGTGTATTAATGAGTTGTGTGGTCAGAGGGGCTTAACTTGGTATAATTGTTGTGAATTCAGCCCTTAAAGTGGGTTCGAATTGATGGCGGGCCACCAGGACAAGGAAAGGGGAAGAAAAAGTGAAGATTTTCTCTCTGTGCCATATGCCGTGGAGTATGGTCAATCCGCCGCAGTGCATAGAGGCGAATTTGAAATCCAATGGGCTCTCCATGCCATACGCCACGACGGAGGGCAACGTGCACCACGGTGCACGACTAAAATTTTAATATATTAGTGCAATATCTAGGCGAGAGAAACTAAGAAGAAGAAGAGAAAAACGAAGAGAATGGAGGATCTGAGCTAGGGCTTGAAGAAACTGACTTATAGGAGTAATTTAGAGCTCGTAAACACCAAAGGTAAGCTTCTTTACTTAAATCTCTCTCTCTTCTTCCATTTTCTTGATGATAGAAGTTGGGGTTTGATTGTTAATAGTGATTTTTGGTTTATAAAAGCTATGGGTCCAAACCTATTGACTTAAGTAAACTTGGTATTTATGGTTTCATGATGATTGATGGTTAGAGAACATTAAATGTCTGAAATTTTTATAAATTTAATGGTTGGAAACAATGTGGTTTCATTAATGTCTATTTAAGAGCTCAATGTTATTAATAAGAGTTAAAGGAAGCTAAGAAGCCTTATGGATACTTTTACATGAGTCAAGAATAAATCTTGAGTATTAATAAATAATGAAGTATTAGTGAAAAATAGCTCAAATATGGATATTGATATTTTACATAGTAAATACTTATAGAGTAACTATCATTAGCACCATTCAAGCTTCTTGGAAGCTTTAAAAGTGAGTAATTGAGGGGTGAAATCTTTGACATATCAAAGGTTTGAGGTAACTGGAGAATTCTATCTTATACTTTTGTGTATTTGTTAGTTTATTAATTTATGATTTATGATTGACATGTGTAAATTAAAAAGAAATACAAGTGTGGCTTGATTTGTTAGAAAATTCACTAGATCAAATTTGTGAATTTTATGCCTTGTGATGTAAAAATATCTTAAAGAACAATATCGATGGATTTTCGCATTATATTTATTGGGAGTTCAATAATCTTGTGAATTGAGAAGTAATATGAATCTTTATTTACGAGAAGTTTAATGATGTTTAAAATAGCGAAGTTCAATGATTTTGAAAGTTTGAATGTACAATGATTGTGAAGTTGAAGTTTAATGATTTATTTGGTTTGAAGTTTCATGAAAATGTGTTTAAGATGTTCAATAATTTGTGTAATGATGAAGTTCAATAAAAATTGATAATATGAAGTTTTATGAATTGTATATGTGTGAATTATGGCATAAATGTGCATTGTATGATCTTGAGAGGTAGGAGTTTACTTAAAAAGAAGAGTAGATGATAAAATTCACGTGGTAAGGCCCATTCGTGAGATGGTTTGCCAAATTGATTATGTTTATATTGTCTCACTTATTCAATGAGGGACTCAAACCTGGCTATCCACCGGTTTAATAAGGAGGCTAATATAGGGTGCATGACACCCCATAGTATGAGAAATATAAAAAACTGTGTTTCATAAGTGAGTTAGGTGCGCATTGATCGGGTAATCCTCTTACAAGTGTTTAGGCTAGGGAAGTTATGAAATATAAACTATCCCATTGAGTTATAGCCCACAGTTTCATGTCAGAGAAATAAGCAGGGTATAAGGAAGTTGTGATCATGTATATAGTAAGTAAGGTACCTATTATCTATATTGTGTTCCAAATGATGATATCACAAATTGAGTCTTAATTTCTTCTGATGTATTTATCAATGATTTGTATGACCAACTCTCTTTATATGAAAAGTGCTAAAAAGCATTGTTTCTTAAGTAAATGCTATTATGTGAGTGCAATTATGAATATCTATTTTCAAATGTTTTATATAGGCTTAAGTATTGATATTAATTGCCACTTGCATTTAAACTAATTGATATATATTAGTATGGGTTAGTCGGACCTTGGTTATTAAATAGTTATATCCACCCCATTATCTTCAATATTATAGGGAATAGCTTAAGAGTTGTGGACAGAAGAAAACACCCAAAGACTTAGGACCACGATCTTTTTATAGTAAGCCTTTTTATTTTGAATAATTGTATGTGTATAATAATTTCAATTGTCAATTAGGAATTCTCATTTGTTCCTTACTTGCATTATGTAAATTTTAAATTGTGAGTGTATTTTAGGCCTTACGGAGTGAGTTGATGAATATGTATTATTGTGACAGGGCTAAAATACTAATACAAGTAAGAGTAGAGCATATTATGAGATGATTTAGAGAACTTAATAAAAATTGTGGTAAACTCCCCCTTTTTATGTTTTTGAGTTTAAGGGGTTGAGTAGCAAAAATTTAATCTAGGAGTATTTTATGTGATATGGTGCATTGCACGAGTTAGTTTTAATGATTTGTATGTGATCAAATTGGTGTTGGTGGCTATTGGCTTTTGGCATTTGGTTTGGACATTTGATTTTATAAAAGTTATTGTAAAAGTGTAAGTTTTAAAAAGCATGTTCAATTTTTGTTTTAAAAAGAATTTGAGTCTGAGACCAATGCCATTAGTTAGAGTTTGGAAAGAGCTTTCTATACACACCTAGTTCGCGTCATTCAAACGTCGGATGTAGATTTGAGATGCGTTAGAAGTTAGCCTTAATGCTGTCAAATTAACAGCAAAAGTTACTGTCAAAATTCATACAATTGCATCGCGACGCATGGTGCTACAAGCTACAGTGCGTATCACAGAGGTGAACATGCCGTAGGGTATGTTCAACGAGTTGTGGTGCACGCCTCAAAATTTTTCAAAAATTTTTTTGTTTCAAATTCTTAAATAAATGCACTCACATAAGCAATGGTCCCATGCTTCCGCATATTTGTGAACTCTAATTTGTCTAATTATAAGACTTTGAAAATAATTTTTATTTTGTAAACTTGGGGTCCCCATTTTACCAACTATTGAAAACTTGTATTTTGATAATTACTATAATCTCATTCCTTAATTACTTAAATTTTGATTTTACTTATGGGATTAGAAGGAGGAGGATATTACACCTGATGCTTTCTTAGGAGGGATCGTCCTGTGTGGGGCATAGGGGGAGGTGTGTCCAGTATTGCAAAAGTTCAAGGTGAGAAGCCCTTAGTGAGATGGGGCTATTACAAATGGAGCACATGACCCATGTGTGAACTTTTCAAGTAGGAGTGAAAATAAATTAGGTTAAATTAGATTTTAGCCAAATAGATCGAGCTTGTGATAAATCAGAGGCATAAGCCTTACCTGAAGTATGTATAAAACTTTTTTGATGACTCAAGCTACCTAAAGCTTGGTTTGACCTGAAAGTTATTTAAAAGTCTACTTAAAAATAAACTTTTTGAATATGTTTGTATTTTAATTTTAAACATCTCAAATATATTTTAGGATTATTATAATATACAATATATTCTTGATTTGTCAATTATAATATATAACAAATGGAAGGATTTATCAACTATAATATAATATAATAATAAAATAAAAACATTAAAATTAATATATAAATTTAATATGATTGAAAATATAATTAAAAATTTTAAAAAAGAATAGATTGATTAAAAATTAAATAGTAAAATTAATATATTTATGATATATTACATAATATATTTATATAGGCTGGCTTGTTAGGTTGTAGATTAGGTCTTAAAAAAATAAGTTTGATGTATTTAACTAATAAACCTAATTAAAAGCATGAAACAACTAATCTTATTTAATAAGTAGGGTAAATTGGGTTCAAAGGGATGGAGGGCCATTAGAGGCCTATTTCCACCTCTATCTCCAAGTGACAAGGCACTGTTGCTACATGCGAACAAGATGCAGTGGGCTTCTTCCGCTTTACCAACAGCTGGGAATGCTATTCTTGCTTTACAGTCCCACCGCACGGGTCCTAGAATACCATGTACCATTCGCGTAAGTGTTATCAGAAGCCAATCGCAGGGCCAGAGAAAAGAGAACAGGTGGTCTCTCCGCGGAATGACAGCCCTCGTCACCGGAGGAACTCGTGGAATCGGGTACCATCGCGTAAACTCCTATGCGCTTGCTTCCCTCTATTTCTCAACTTTTTGAGCGGCTTGTACTAACTTGTAATCTGGAATAAGCAAAGGCGCGCGATTGTGGAGGAATTGGTTGGATTTGGGGCTAGAGTGCATACCTGTGCTCGAAATGAAACTGAACTCAGTAAATGCCTCAACGACTGGGATGCTTCGGGTCATGGAATTACTGGGTCTACTTGTGACGTATCCGTTCCACAGCAGAGAGAGGTAATGATGGAGAACGTCTCATCTATCTTCGACGGGAAGCTCAACATCCTTGTAAGGCCCTCTTCTCTCCCATGGCTGCTGTCCATAACTATTGTGCGTATTTTATTCTCTTCCATTGCTGGTCAAAACGTGCATTTTTCATAACAATCAGAGTGATCATACGTCACGATGGTTACGATAATCATCACCATTGGTATGATAGTTTGTACTATTTAGAGGTTTGCCCTGTTAATCTGTTATCGACTAGCACGTACGCGTGAACTAATGTCGCTATCAAGTCTATAAGTGTATCTGATTTGGAGCTTTTTTAGGTTTGATACTTTGCAGGCGAACTTCTTTTGAATTCTTTTTCCTAATACTTCAAACATGATCATTTTAATGCGCAGATAAATAATGTGGGGACGAACATTCGGAAACCAGTGACAGAGTTCACGAATGCAGAGTTTTCCACTCTCATCGACACTAACTTAGGATCCGCCTTTCATTTATGCCAACTTGCTTATCCACTTTTGAGAGCATCAGAAGTGGGAAGCGTTGTATTTATCTCCTCTGTTTCTGGTTTTGTCTCACTGAAGTCGATGTCTGTTCAAGGAGCTACCAAAGGTAGTTTTCCTGTTTTTGCTTGCTTCAAATCTGGAAGTAATTTACCAAATTCTGAAATTTTTATTTTTATTTTTGAGATTGACAAGGTAGTTTTCCTGTTTTTGCTTGCTTCAAATCTGGAAGTAATTTACCAAATTCTGAAATTTTTATTTTTATTTTTGAGATTGACAGGGGCAATCAACCAACTTACTAAAAATTTAGCTTGTGAGTGGGCAAAAGACAATATACGGTGTAATGCTGTGGCACCTTGGTACATAAGTACTTCAATGGTGGAGCAAGTAATCATCTTTTCCCTTGTCCTTAACCTCGAGTTTAATTTAGATCCTGATGAAATTGATTCAGCAATGCACCGTGCTACAGTAATAGTCAGTCTTCTTCCTCTTCTAACTTCTGTTTTGATGTTTTCGTTGGAGGTGGGGTGTTGATAGTTGAGGAACTGGTTAGGGATAAAAACCAAGCTTGCAATGGTACGAAGCTGAAAGTCAAATTCTTATTGAAAGAAAATACCTTTGATCTGGGTCTTTGACATTTTGGGAGATGGATGTATTCAATCTCTTTCCTTCATTTTGTTACGTTGCTTTCTGGTAAAAGCATCTTGGGTTGATTGTTGGAAGTCATTGCCTGCACAGTTGATAACCAACCAATTGGTCTTGAATCTAGCTTTCTCGAACTCTATAAAGATAACTTTTGTGCAAGCATATCTTGCAAATCTGATTGGTAAACGTATTCATCTTTCTGGGATTTGAGGTTTTTGTGTCTAAGAATTGCAATTTAAATTTTAGAACAAACAAATCTCTATGCCACAACAGAGACAGGAAAGATTCTAGTTGCGTTTGAAGTAGCATAGCAAGAGATTTCAAGAGAGTGTAAGTTCTAATCCCATAATCGGATCCTCTAGGATTCATGCTCAATTTTGTACAAAATTTTTTGATCTCTTACCTGGAGCCTAAACCATCCTTAGGTAATGATTATTACTCTCATAAATTATAATGATGTTTTCTTGGCATTAAAATCAAATTGAGAAGCATGCTCTTTGTTTACTTTTTAGTATTACTATGAGAATAGTAACAGTGCCCCTTCATCCGTTGCATTTGAAATCCCAGTGTTACGGTGATTTAGATGTTGCTGAATCCCTGACCTTGAGTTCTGTACAGTTATAACATACAAAACCTGATTTGACATTTTCCCTTTGTTTTAGGTGCTGAGCAATGAAGGCTACCTGGAAGAAGTATACTCTCGAACTCCCCTGAGGCGGCTGGGAGACCCAGCAGAAGTGTCATCTCTTGTTGCGTTTCTTTGCTTACCAGCGTCATCATACATTACTGGCCAGATTATATGTGTGGATGGAGGAATGACCGTGAACGGTTTTTACCCGGCACACAACTAGGAGTTCCAATATGCATCATAGTCCACACGCCAACGTTTTTGTTTGTCCGAAATTCACCAACCATCCCTGTGGAATCAATGTTATGATCTCTGCAAAGTATTCTCATGGCGAAGGCAGAGGTGTTGATCAAAGCCCGAGTAAGAGGTTGCTGGAGGAATCCATAAAATCACTAATAGACCCTTGCAAGGCGGATTTTTTAATATTGTAATAACGGATCATTTTTGTTCTAAACGTCTCTTAGAAACTATATTTTCCTTCACCCGGAGACGAATTCGAAGGCAACAATCATTTTCGCTCGAAGTGTTCTAAGATCTATCCGCCTTGAATAATTGAACTCGGGAGACAGAGTCCGAAGAGAGGGAAAGTGAAATCATGTTCAGAGCCATGGACAAGGCATGTGGTATTCTATCGAGCGTTTTAGGAAATAAACAAGGAGGCGATAGTTTGATTTAGATGGGGAGGACCCCAAAGAAGCATGAATAAGGAAAGTAGGGCACAATTAGCGGGATAAAAATGTGGCCAATGTTGATCAGTATGACAGTATCGCTGCGGCAGAGGGGACAAGTTGCCCAGCCATCAGAAGCATACGCGGATCGTCCTCTCTATTAGGACACCGGAACCGAATGCATTACATCATGCTTTTGTGGCCAAAACGAAGGAGTAGATTGGCTCTGCCAAGGATTTGAAAGTGTAGACTCCTTGCGTGCCATTTATAAAACACTCTTTAAATTTGGTTATTTTTATAGGTTACGCTATAATTTTTTAAGTAATATTTATAAAATATTTAAAAAATTATATTTTATGAGAAAGAAAAGTAATATAACACTTTTTAAATTTATTATATAAGGATATAAGTAAAATTTTATATACTTTTATTTTTTTTACATTGATATTAATAAAATTAGTAAAATTGACTTGTACAGTATCAAAATAGTTAATGAACAGAGGGCTGTTACCGAAGATGTTGTATGTTAGCAGGCCTCCGTTCTGTTTTAGGCCTTTATTTTCAAGGCTCCGTTTATACGGATCCCACTTTGTCTATTTTAAGTTAGCTAAGTCGTTATGGAAAAAAAAAAAAAAAAGGTTTGTTCAGTCAGAGTGTAAACATGTGTATTTTGTTCAGGCCCAAGTGCCAATAATAAGCATATTATTCAGTTTCATTGTACACTCCGTTATGGTTCGACCGTTTCTTTATTGTAAAGGAAGACCGTATTCACATTCACAAAATAACACGTGGGAGCCGTGGTCTCATCTCAACAGAAGAAGCACAAGGACTAATGACTGACGAGCCGTGTCGAGGCTGAAAAATGAGTAATGACGAGGAAAAGCGATTATTGCACCCTCTGACACGAGTTCATTCTTTTATTTGACTAAAATATGTAAATATAATTTATTAGGACCAATAATACGCCAACATGTAGCCCCTGTCGATGGCGATGGAACTGAAAACATACAGCCTTCCGATTATTGCACCCAAACAATGATTAAAGATATTGTTTAGGTGAGTATTAGAAAGCCGGTGAGGGGAACTTTTCCCGAACAAAATGGCCATCACTGGCGACATTGCCTAGTGCGATGCCTCCTCTAGAGAGAAGTGATCGCCGTCTTCTTTTAGCCGTACGTAGGATAAACAAACACAGAGATACAAGCAACCCAGGAAAAGTGGAGGCTGTAGAGGTTAATGATCGGGCCGAGGGAAGGGAATGGGCACGAGGAATCGGGATCAAACAAATTCTGGATGAATGGGCGCGAGGAAGCTATTGATTTTTGTTGGGATTCCCTCTTCCAGAAGTCGGGAATCTGGTGAAGCCTCCTCATTTCGCTATCACCCGTCACCGTCTACGCCAATTTTTCTGTGATTTGATTTCGGAAGGTTTTTCCTCGGGTGGACACGTGCACAGGGGAGTTAGGTACCCACATTATTGGCCCATAGCAAACTAGGAAAAACAGAAAAAGGCTAGGCATGGTTGGAGTGAGAAATAGGTTGGGAGAGAAAAGGAAAGGAAGAGCAAATGGCAGGCCTGAGATGTTGGAGAAGGCAAATGTCGAGCGAAAGGAACCCCAAAATGGAGGCTGAAGTCATTGGTGTGCGCGTCTGAAGGCTTCTCCAAGAGCCGAGAAGGGAGTGTAGAAAATGAGATGATACGTGTCGAGAGGAAGAGGCGTCAACGAAGGAGGGCGGGGGATACGTATAGGCTTGTGATTGGGCCACCCCGAGAGAGAGAAGAGACCCGGGGGGGGGGGGGGCTGAAATCAAAATTCAAACCTCCAACCCTCCCAACCCTTCACTTCTCTGCATTTCCCACTCCAGAGTCCAGACCACTCCTTTTCCTTCCATCTGACCACCTCTCCTCTCTCTCCCCTGCCGCGCAACACTGCCCTTCCTTCCCAATATTCCTTTCAAAAGCCACGCACCATCCCGCCTCACTCTCGTCGTTCTCGTATCCTACTTCCCTAACGCATGAACCCGGATTCGTTGACGCTTCCCACGTGAATCGACCGCACGCTGCGGAGGTTCTGCTCCGTTTTGGCTGCCAAACATGGCGGAGATATGCTGCGGAGTGGTGAGCGAGCGCAAGACCTCGGTCTCCTGTCGGCCGAGCCCGCGTCAGGGCAGAAGGAGGAGAGTGGAGATCAGGCGATTCAAGGTGGGTGCAGGCGAGGAGAAGCGCCCCAAACTCCGCCTTGCTCCTCGAGACTGTGAGGATGCCGCGTACAACTGTGCCGTTGATATCCAGAAAGCCCTCGTGTTTCTATCCCCCCACCGACAAACTTCGAGAGACTCCTTCAACCCGACGCATTCTTCAGTTGTGGTTAGTCGCTGCCCGAAATTTGGGGTTGCGTCGGTGTGTGGAAGGCGAAGAGACATGGAGGATGCCGTGGCTGTCCGTCCCTGGTTTTCCGGGGACCATCAATCCTCTGGTGAATTTCATTACTTTGCAGTTTACGATGGCCACGGTTGCTCTCATGTAAGAGCCAATAGCCTCACCCTCTATGAATAAAATTAGTGCTGATCTTTAATAATTTTGTGCGTCAGAGATTGAGGGGGAAGAATCTTAAGATAATATTATCAAGCTCTTGGTTTTCTAAAAATTCCCGAGACGTTAAATCAGAGTGTTTTATTTTACTGCATTATACATGATTATTCAGGTAGCGGCCAAGTGTAAGGACCGATTACATGAGTTAGTGAAAGAAGAGCTGGAGAAACAGGATTGGCCCACGGCCATGGAGCAAAGCTTGTCGCGAATGGACCAGGAGGTCATTGCTTGGAATGCTAACGTCTTAGAAGCTGATTGTAGGTGTGAGCTTCAGTCGCCCGAGTGCGACGCTGTTGGATCTACGGCTGTCATTGCTGTTTTGACCGCCGACAAGGTAATCGTCGCCAACTGCGGCGATTCGAGGGCCGTGCTCTGCCGTGGCGGCAAACCAATCCCTCTCTCCTCCGATCACAAGGTCAGCTCCCCCACTTGGTTTATCCAGATAAAATCAACCATGTTCTATGATGAAATTTTAGATTACAAAAGAGGAATTTGTGTTCTGTCGATCTAATAGTTATGATGGTCTTTGGGATGCAGCCGGATCGTCCGGACGAGCTGAACCGGATCCATGAAGCCGGAGGACGGGTTATATACTGGGATGGACCACGCGTTCAGGGAATGCTCGCTATGTCAAGAGCCATAGGTAAGCAAGAATGAGAACGGCGTAGTGTGCGAACGAGCAAACAATGATTTGGTTTTTGCTGATGCGTTTGGTGTTGGTGGCGGTGCAAACTGGTGGCAGGTGACAATTACTTGAAGCCTTACGTGAGCTGCGTGCCGGAGGTGACGATAACAGATCGGACGGCGGAGGATGACTGTTTGATACTGGCCACTGATGGGTTATGGGACGTGGTGTCGAATGAGACAGCATGCGGGGTGGCACGCACGTGCTTGCGCGGAAGCAACCACTCGCCACCGAACCCGGGGGCGGCGTTGGAGGGCGAAATAGAAGGGGCTGCAACGGAGATGTCTGACAAAGCGTGCTCTGACGCGTCAATGTTGCTGACGAAGCTTGCTTTGGCCAGGCACTCCACTGACAACGTCAGCGTAGTGGTGGTGGATCTAAGGAGGGGGGCCTGAAATTAATTATTAATTGAAGGACCAGAAAAAAAAAAAAAAAATAGGACGGGGTTTGATGTTGGGCAAAAGCCCGCGAATTTGCATCCTTTCGGCCCGCAACATTATTCTGTTCCCAGTGGCGCGTTGTTCTTTGAATGATGCAACTGCAATGGATTGATCCGGTTCTCACTTCTCAGCGTCAAATGCAGTAGCTCCCAAGTCCTAATTTCATTTCAATTTATGAGTTTTCTATCGTCATTGGATGATCCTCTTAGAGAACCAAATCCCGAGCGCACAAGTCAAAGTGTTGATGCAATTGCGTAATAGTTTGCTGAAATTCTTGTTGAACCAGAGGCCAACCGTTTACATCCATGTTTACATTTGTGTGTATAAAATGTATATATAACAAGTAGATGGAGCATGACCTCTCTGTTATGCGCAAGCCCAATATTTAATTTTGTATGATAAAATATTTTGCTGGCCCAATACATGCACATAAAATATCGTAATTTGAATTCTTTGTATTCTAACTATTTGAGTATTTGTTTTGTTTTGTTTTGTTTAATGGGGTAGAAAAAAGACAAGAATGATGGATGGATGGCAAGTGGATGATTCCAATGTTTGTTTTCGGGGTAATACAATGATTTCTCCTTCAGTTTAAGAAAGGAGGGTTTAGGTGTTATTATAGTTAACTATTATGTGTCTCGTGCGATGCGTGTTTAGCGAATAAGTAATGATTTAAATAAATAAGAAAATTTGAGTTAAATTATATGTTTGCATTATATTATTTAATTTATAAATTGAAGGTAAGTAATATAGTAATGATTTAAAATATTTTCTTGACAATTTTTCCATCGTGTGAATTGAAAAATTGAATCAATTTTTATAAAATATATCAAAATTTTAATGATAAATAATATATCTACATTGTAAAATTAAATTATAATTAAATATTAAAATTAATTTCATAGTGAGGATGTCATGTCACGATATTTTGACATTTTTTAAGATTTTGAAATTAAAAATTAAAACGGTAAATATGAAGTGGGGAAGTTATGATAATGGATGATATCGTAGGAGAAAAAAATTAGGGATAATGAAAAGTGATTTCTAATAATTTTATAAAAATGTTCTTAATTTTTTTTAAATTTCTTTTAAAAATTAACCCTGATATGTGTAGCATTCCTAAAATTGCACGTGTCACAACAGAAGTGCTGTGATTCTACTTATATATATGACAAAAAATAATAACATAATGTAAAATAAAAATTCAAAATATTCAAAATAAGATAAGCTAAAATCTGAAATAAAATGTTAAATTAGTAATATGTAAATAAAAGGAGGAACAGGTTACCACACTCTAAGAAAATGAATCTTAAATTTTACTTATATAAAAATTCAAATCAATTCAAATAAAGATTGTAAATCCTAGGATTCAGAGGTTATTATTTTTTTAATCTCTAAAATGTAAATAATATAATAATAATTTAAAAATCTCTTGAAGCAATTTCGTTATAGCAGGAATTTAAAATCTGAATCAGTTGTTATAAAATATATCAAAATTAATTATAAATATCCATGTCGTGCAATTAAATTATAATTAACAGATTAAATTAATTTCATAAATCAGATTTGGGGTGAGAAGTTAAGATATTTAATTTTTTTTTATTTTTAAAATTGAAAATTAAAATTGTGAAGAAGTTCAGAAGGTATGTTAATTGATGGGATAATAGGATAGAACATGGAAGATTAATCAAAGGATAAGGCAAAGTGGTTGTTGATAGGTTGACATATTATTATTATTTTTAGAAAATATTTTTAAAAATCAATGCTGATTTAAAAAGTTTAGAATTACAGCATTCATAAGTACATACATGTCAAGCTATTATTTGGTGATTTATTCACTAAAACTTTGAACATATCTATCTTCAAACTGTTTATCCGTGCTATGGACATAAAATTCTTCTTTCTATAACCTATCATTTAAGAAACAAATTGAAACTCAAGAAGGGGAAAATAAATATAACTCAACACTCTTATTAATTCTGATATATTTTCTTTTTATATAAGGATAAAAAAATAATTTCATTTACATCAACAACAAATCAATAACTAATATATGTATATATATTACAATTCAGCAAACCCATTACCATCTAGAGGCATGAGCACATTGTTCAATTTTGTCTTACTGTGCATGCCTGTAAGATAATGACTTGCAACACACAACTTATAGATCTTAACTTGAAAAATAGTAACTGACAAATGCGTGCCTACATACTCAAGTAAGAAGCCTCATTAGACATTCATGAATCTGGAATTGGAACTAACTACTAAGAAAACAAATTTGCTTCTTCGCTATTTTGACTTCAAGGAGAATGTCTCATATCAACATACATATTTAGCTAAAAAGAGGCCATCTCAAATTTTTGAAATACACATGCACCAAACATTTGATCTATCCATCTTATAACATTATTGTAATTATAAAGCCTATTTAAATTTACATAAGTTATTAGCCTAAAATAATGACCCGTGATGATCAAAAAAGAAAATTTTATTAATAAGCTGAACAAACTTAAACCATTCTAACCTCAGAGAGTAGGCCGTTAAACAGGCAAATCAAAGGAACACACATTAAAAATTATATTTTTTGCCACAAAAAAATTATAGGCATATATTGCAATTGATATAACAAGTAGAAATAAGTGAGAGAATGGTCCACCATTTGCCGTCAATCAGTATATCAAGAGAGACAATTTTTGCATTTGGCGGAGCTTGCACTCTTTCTATTGAAAAATGAATTATATGTAGGTTCAATTTCATTAATGATGGTTATTGAATGTAAGTTTTTTATTCTAAAATCAAACTCATACACTAAAGTAAATTACTAATTATTTGAAGGAGAGTTTGCACACCAATGAGTAAGAAACTAACAATAATCAAGTTAAAACATATGCAAATTAAAATAATATACAATAAGATTGATGAATAACAAACCAATAATCCAAGTTAAATATGAATACACACCTTGGTTGATATTTCAACTGATGATTGTGTAAAGGATTTTCTTGGTGTCTTACTCTTTTTTACAGCACAAAACCATGTTCAAAACTCAATTCTCAAATGTTGAAAGTTTAAAACTTCCCTAAGATTAATGAATATCAAACCTACTCTTTATTGGCAAGGAGAATTGTTCATGGTTGAACAATAAATACTAAGCGTGCTAGAGACGCTAAGTCTCAATAGATAACGAAAAAGATTTTGAGTTCCCTTATTACAGTTCGTTGGATGTAAAAAGATAGAAGTCTTTAGTAGAATAAGTGTGTAATTTAATTGGAATGTAAAAATTACAAACTAAAACTAAGAACTGAAAAGGGGCTAATAAATGTAAAATATATGAGTTTTGATTAAGTATTGACTGGATTTCTCTATTTTTCTTCTTTCTATTTATAGTGTCTGATAGCAAAAGCCTTCTCGTTGAGACTTAGCATGTTTTATTGAAAAATTAAGAATTCCGCAAAACTTATGGCACGGTCTCTCCATTTTAATAAACAGCTCATTTTACTGAACTATTTGGACATAGATTTTAACATTACTTAAGATCGTGTCTTCGTGCTAACGGTTTGATATTTGAAACTGATGGGATTTCGACATGTTCATTTGTGGTAGACTTTATTAAGCTTTGAGGCCGACCTCCTTAGTTTATATTGGGCCTGATGTTTCAATTACTCAGCCCAACTAATCTCGTGACTTATTTGAGCGACATTTCATATTTAACCTAAACAAGAATATTAACACTAATAAACTAATCAAATATGGAATCCACACACTTGAGAAAGGCAACCGTCGATATTCTTGATTCTTGTTGCAAGCAGCTTGTACCACAAACAGGACAAACCAACTACAATATGTCTTCCACCCTACCACAGCTATCATCCAATCAATTTCCATTTCTAGAACCTTCTAACCAATAACAATTTGTATAAGGTGAAGAGGATGGACATTGGACAATGGTGCACTACAAAACTACTCTCAGAATGTAGGTTCATGAAGTTGTAAAGTTTTTTTATCATGATTTATGACCTAATTTTTGTTTGACATATATATAGATGAAGTAAATCCTACGTGGCTTTCTAAAATTATAGTATTTAGAATGTAGGTTTAGAATGATTGTAGAAAACCAAAACAATCTAATTTAATAGAAAGAGTTAGTAATCATCTGTTGTTTATCAAGGTGTGGAGGGCGAGAATGAGAGGAAAGACTAAAGCAAAATGCAAAACAAAACAATGTTACCTGATTGGGGTTTTAAATTGAGAAGAGATTCCCCTTCACATTAAGCCAAATCTCTTCATTGTAAGTACACTACTTAATATCAGTGAAATAAAAGGTGTAAATTAAAAATCCTAATCCTAAAGGAAGAAAGGTTGCACCTCGAGACACTAACAAACCAAGAAGACAAACCTCTTCCGATGATTCTTGTACAAACCAAGCACATGAATGTGAGTGAGTCTAGAAGTTACTATCAAGATGGAAGTTTGTAGGACTTTAATTTGAATTACAAATGGAGGAGTGAGAAAAAAGGGGAGAAATATCATGAAGATGAAAGCATTGGATTGGCATGGGTGGGGTGGCTGGGTGTGGAAGTTAGGAAAAATTTGCAACAAGACTTGAAAAAAAGAAAAATATATCGTGGCTTAGTTTATGTCATGCCAATTTGTGGCTATCCTTTCAAGCATAATTTGATTTTCAACCACATCTGACATTTTTTAAAATAAATCTAATCTAATTTTTAAAAGGAAGAGATGTTAATTTTGGGTGGGGATGGAGAGATTTTTCAGGGATGGGGAAGTTATATATATGAAATTTGTTTATTATCAAAATTTTTACATTTAAGAAATTAAAATTGAAAATAAGAAGTTAGGAAGCATAATGGGAGATAAAGAAGCTAGGAAGTTACAAATAATGGATAAGATTATGGTAGAGAAAATCCAAGGATAAAAAGAAGCAGTTTATGATAGTTTTAAAATAATAGTTATTTTTATTAAAAAAAATCATATTGTTATTATCATAAAAAAATCATTTTTAGAAATTAATACTAATGTGAATAGCCTACAATTGCAGCATTTTTGAAAACGCACACGCGTGGAGCTTAGACTTAGAAGGCTGCTTGAAGTTCTAATTTTTTATATGTATAAAGTATAGATTTCTTTAATTCTATTTTGGAAGACAAGCAATAAAGGAGCACATAATTTTCTTATTATTTTTAAATTGGAAGTTTGGTTATTATTTTTAATTACAAAATTGAATTTGGTTATTTATTTTTCATTAGACTGTTATCGTTTTAATTATAACCTTAAAATTAAATTGGGATACTGGAGAGATATGGGAGAGAGTAGTTTTTTTTTAATTATAAAATTGAATTTGAATATTAATTTTTTGTTAGATTATTATTGTTTTAATTATTATAATCTTGAAATTAAGTTGGGATAGTGGAGAGATGTGAGAGAGGAGTAGTTTTATTTATTTCTAAAATAAACAATAAATAATAAAATAATAGCTAACATGTGACATCAATTGGATAAATATATGGGAGAGAAGTAATTTAATTATTTTTTAAGAAACCAAAAAAAAAAAAAAAACTTAAAGGACACATGATGTCTCAAGATATAAGCTTGCAGTTCTACTTTTATATATATATGTGTGTGTGTGTGTGTGTGTGTGTGTGTAGATATAGATATGCACCCTCCATATCCAAAATAAACCTCAGTTTGGAGGGCCTTTCCGTCCGACTTTTTGGATCCAAACAAAGGCCATTCCACTACCCTGCAAAAACCCAAGGGAACAGCAAAGGAAAAAATTAGGAATTGAAGAGTTAAAGTCGAACTTTCTCCTCGCTCCTGTCCAACCTTACCGAGTATATATATCTCTTAAAATACAAACTTAAGTATGATCAAATATAATAAATGATATGAACACATGAAACGAAAAGGAACTAACAATCATAGATATTTTATTAGCCCTTCAATTCGGTTTATATTTGCTTGGGAATAATGCAAGAGACAGTCGTTCACACTAAATTCACAATAAAGTCCATTGCCAATAATCATTAGCCGAGTAATACACGAAAATATCCGAAAATTGAAAAACTGTATAAGGTCATTTGTCTGAATAACAGGGCAGAGATACCCAAAGGAACCCTTCTGCAAACTATAGACAAGAACAGTAACTAAACACAAACAAACAAGGTGAAAAGACATTTTCCAATATGTCCTTTAATTGGAAATGAAAAACTCGCACCAGCGGACCAAAATTTGTTCTACCATTGCTTCTTTTCCTTGCTATTTTCTTCAATTCTCACATTCTTTAACGCTTTCAACTTTCTGTAACCAACATCAGTTCCAAATATCCTAACATGACCCATAAAAAAAGCCTTGTCAGTATTACTGGTTAAATTAAACCTCCAAGGAGACATTAAATAGAAGAACCGTAGAGTGTGCACGAGTCGGTAAAACCATATAAATCTAACAAGTCGGGACATCTTATAAGCATAAGAAAAACGCTAACTCTGTAAGTAGATCATGTTCTTTGAAACTTACCAGTCCATGTAGGTGAATGTTGATGAGTAGTTTCCGGACTTGGTATATAACAAACGGTGGTGATAGTCATGAAAATCAGCTCTGAAAGTGATAAAGCAAAAATAAAATACAATGGTCATGTAGCAGAATAAGCCACTTCACTGGTGTCTGAGTGAAGGACAAGGAACTAGACACTCACCCCCCATACAAAGGTAAGAAGTTAGAAAGACTCCAGGGAAAATGGTAACCACAGTGAGCCTCAACTGTCTCCAGGACTCTCACAACCATCCATAACCATAGGGTCAACAGGTGAGGGCCAGTGATTGCAGGACCAACAATGGTAGCAAAGCCAAGGAAAAGTATCTCAGCAGGATGAGCATATTCAGAAGTAAGTCCAAATGGTGTAGCATACCTTCATAAATATAGGGAAACGTCTATAGGCTTTAAGAAGCCATAAAGCAGTACTTAGATAACCATGTAATAGTGTGTTCTTTTCGAAAAAAGAAAAGGCTGAAAAAAAGATAAACATCTCTTACTCATGATGAACACTGTGAACATGTTTGTACAACCATTTGGTGTGCAATACCCTATGTCCCCAGTAGAATACAAAATCCTCCAAAACGAAGTAAAAGAGGACCTGCGTTAAAACTACTTTCCTGCAGAATCATAGTTGGATATAGCTAAGTAAGCATGATGGGTGGGCAGCTCTAAGCGCTTAACCCAAAAAAAGCCCATCATGAAGCTCATATGTTCAAAATATTGGCAGTGCTCTTAAAGAACCTGAAAGTACCAGGACGGCAGTGGAAGACTACTTCGCATGCCCATGTATCTAAAGACAGGATATGAAAATATCATAACAGGCAGATTGACTCCACAATGATACAGCAATAAGCGAAGAACACATTTCTCCTGAGCTGCAGGGCTGTTGATTTTTGCCTGTGGTGAAGTAAGCGTTAGAAACAACACTAGAATTTTGCCCACCAAAAGAAAAAACCTAGTACAGTAGAAGCTTCAAAAGAAGGAAAAGTACTAATCGATTAGCAGCAGGAATTTTAACTACACATATTCTCAACATAAGAATAAGTTTTATACACCAGCAGGCATTGCTAATTCTAGCAACGAGACACAAGCAGATAAGGTTGAAACATATTAAAGACGGCAAAGAATTTGCAATAATGTGATTTTTATTAAGTCCAAAACGAATTAGCTTTTAGGACCCTGAAAAAGGGAAGAAGCACATTATTGGTATTAAACAAAAAAGACTCATCAAGCAAACTACATTTGATAAGATAAATAGTTGAGTCGTGAATGGTGTTATTCCTGACTCACATTGTTTAAAATGCTTTGGCGGGTAGAATGACAGCATAAAGTACTTCGTCTATAGCTTTGACAACAGAAGAAGAAAATCTTGCAACTTCAAGATAACGATAGAGTTTAATAAAGATAAACCTGGATCTTGTACTTGCTCAGCCATCCTGCCCTCTCAAGCCATATGAAGGGAAGTCCAGATAAGAAGAAAACACTTTCATGGAGAAAGAAACTGCCCAGGCATGCCAGTTGAAAGTCGCTGAATTGTGAGATCAAAAACTGCATCACAGCAAACAAAGAACTTCATTTTGTAAAATAATATTTTCCAAACGTGACAAGTTCAAACTGAGATCTTCCATTCTATAACAAATCATATCTAAAAAGATAAGATAAAATTCCTGAACCAAAATACAACTTAAATATTGACACCAGAATTCTTCAAGTTCGGTATGCTGGGGTGACCAAACTATCTACAGGATCTTTTTAATCATATTTCTATACAAAATTCGTAGGAATCCCCATAAATAAGTGGAATTCAAAATAAAGTAGGCCCACAAACCCAACACAGATAGTTTTCAGGTTTACTTCGATATCTTTTTGTTTTCATTTTTCTTTCATGTCTTCTTTTCCCCCTGGGTTAATTCGTACTTGAATATTTGAAATATGCATTGTAAATGAAACTTGAACCCAGTTTCAAGACTCTAACAAAGTTGAAGCATTAATTTATATGGCAACTTCAAGAAGGGAGTAAAAAGACACAAGTTCAGTTCCAAATTTCTTCGTAACGGAGATCTCAAAACTTGAAGTCAACTTCCGAATGGAGCATGATCCAGCTTGTTGTAAGCCAGCCATAGACCATGGTCTCGTCAGGACACCCATAACAACAAGTCGATTCGAAGGTACCAGTCTGTCGCTGCTCTCATCCAAGTATCATTGTTCTTTATAAAATGTAACAGCCAAAAAGGCATAATGTGCATGGATTCCCCGTCCATGAAATCCGATATCTTGACTGTTGGACCCGTGAATCGTGTACATGCATGGTAGTAAATTAGAAATAATAGACCTCAACATCCAATCCTCATTCAGGTAATACGAAATTTAAAAACAAGATAAACTAACAACCACAGCAGAAAAGAAGTAGAAAGCAAGAATCAGAGGTCATGATTCGACCACGATCAAGAAATCATTTGTCGAAGACCCACATAATAACCGCAGCGAGGTCCAATGCGTAAAAAATGAATGACGACGAGTGTTTCCAAATCCAATGCGGGACAAAAGAAACCAAATCTGGACAGAAAATAATGAGCAAGAAGTGGCAGAGAATGAGTGGTAGGAGAGGTGAATGGCGGAGAAGAATGGACCTGCCAAGCAGATTCGATCAGGGACGCCATAGCAGCTAGAGAAACGCGAGAGAGTGAATTGGAGAGAGCAGGGCGAGATTTCTGAGGTGTCAAGGCGGGGACAGGGAGAGCTCACCGAAGCAAAGAGTTGCCACATGCTAGTGAGTAAAGGGAATCTGGGCTCTCTACTTTGTTGGGCCTTCACCTCCCCCCCCCCCCTCTTTCTCTCTCTCTCAATTCACGCGCACGCTCACGCGCACGTGCAAAGTAAAAAGGCGGGGGCGATAAACTGGAGGAGCAGACAATGTCAGCGTCGCACTTCAAAATCTGCCGATATCATCATGCATGCTTTGGCTAATGTGTAATGACATCCATGTCCCCCCCCCCAAAAAAAAAACTTTGTTCAACAAAAATAAATAAATAAATGATGTTGCAAAGCATATTAGAGACATAGAGTTTCAGAAAAATAGAATAATCTAACTTTTAATTAAATGCAAGGAACTCGAGTTTCTTTATCATAGTTTACCAAAATGTAAAAGTGTGAAGTGAAAAAAATTAATATAGATATAGGCTTATGCCGACTATATAACAAAAAGGGAGATAAGTGGCTCTGTTTTTATTGTGGAGAGACTTTTCGGCCAGTTCACCACTACAATAGCTCATTTTCATTGTTGGAGATAAAGCAACAGAATAACAAGAGGCAAGATAAAGCAACAAATGCGGAATTTGAGAATTTAATTATAATTTATTGATGATAATGCTCCTTTGATGAGAGATGGCTCCTCTATTTAGAAACAATCCTAACTTGATATCCAAATTTCATGATTATCACTTTCTTTAAATATAAGAAGCATTTTCTCCATTATGATCACTTTCTCTACTTTCATAATTCAAGCATCATGGGTGGAGTGTGAAGATGATAGCCTAAACTTGATCTTAATTTAGTGACTAAGTTTTTATGAATATTTATTTTTAATTATTTTAAGATTGATTGAGTTGAGTTGAATTTAAGCTTTCAAATTTCCAATTTAAATATAAGCATTTATCAACTTCATTTTCTTTCTCTCTCTTTTTTTCCAATGACTTCATTTTCATACATACGCCCACCTAGCTTTGTCAACAAAGCATCTCTGTCATTACCAATGAAATTGAGTTTAGTTAAAGGAATTAATCTTTTATAATTGATAGTCGATTAAATTGAGTTGAATTCAAACTTTCAAATTCATAATTTGAGAGTAAACACTTATCAACTTCATTTTCTTTCTGTTAATTTTTTCCCCATTAACTTCATTTTCATACACACACCCACCTAACTTGATGAACAAAGCATCCCTGTTGTTATTAATGAGATTGGATTTAGTTAAACAAATTAATTCCTTACAACTGACGAATCAAATTCAAATTTTTGGAGAGATGCCCTATTCGATTTACCTCCAATAAACATCACATGAAAATACATAAAACATTCAATTAGTATCATGAATAAGGACCGTAATTTTTCAATTACCTTTCAAGCACCTAATATCCTTGTCTATCATTTAAAAAAAAATTAAACAAATAGAGAAAAAAGCCCTGGACACTTTCCGCAAATTCTTGCTTTCTTAGTTTCTTGCCTCCCAAAAATGGAAACGGGTGCTCGTATTTTCGGATCCCTATTTTGTTTGACTCTCCACCGTTAGATTAATTTAGATTCATAATATGGCAGATGGCATGTGATTAAAAAGGCACAGTTGCAGTTGCTTTTGACCATACCTACATAAAAACTAAATAATGTCAATCTATTAGCTCATCAAACATCATGTAATAATTTTAATATTTTAATTTATGAAATGCCTCTAACAATAAATATTTCCTAGTTTTAGATATGACTTAATCTTTGTGTTCGGAGAATGCTAAAGAAAGGAATTGGTATGATGAGTCTGAAGTCTCAGACTCAACAGAGATGCAGCAATTAACGAGACTTGGCTGTTGGATCTGTGTAGATCACCTCCTAAAGCGGTTGACAAGTTATCCCCAAGGTCCAACAGTGAAAGTGGGGACTGAAATGTACGGAAGGTGCAACCCACAATGGTGCAGGCGGTTTTGAGAGGTGGAGGTGCTATGTAGACGGAGGAAGAGAAATTCGTTGCCACCGCCATTGCCGTTTTTATTTATTCAAGTAACTTTTTATGACAGGGAAGGATCTTAGGTCCTTGAGATATTTTAAAAATTATGACTATTTTCAATTGTATAAATTTGATTGTTTAGGTGCTTAATGCCACTTTCCTTAAAGATAATGAGAAGAATCGCTTAGCAAACTGAAAGGGCTGCGTGAAAAATAAAAACAAATATATATATATATATATATGTATGTATGTATGTATGTATGTATGTATGTATATTTGATGTTGATCATTGAATACTAATGCAACTTTCAAAGGATTAAAGAAAAATGACAATAAATCCTCAAAATAAAAAATTTGTCACGATTAAATTTTAACAAAAATTTTTAAAAAATTAATTGTACATATTAATTTAAATAATTGTAAATAAAATCTTAATTATAAACTAAATTATATTTAAAATTTAAAAGTTTTATTTATGATTAAAATTATTAAATTGGTAACTGTTAAAATTAAAATTTACAAGTTATTTCTTAAAAAAAATTACCAAAAACCTAATTATAATTAACCTTTTTTTTTAAGACTTAGCTATCATTCTTACAAGGAGAACTGGAGAACTGGAAATGAAGACCTACAATCCACCCTCATGCGGATCCTTGCAAGGGCATTAACAATTTCAACTCTTGAGCATCCCTAACGCATGTGATGATAGGAATTGGGAGGAGGAAGGAGAGAAGGAAAAAAAAGGGGGGGTGGGGGCACCACTCTCATACCAGTGATTAACAAGGCAAAAAATGTGCACGTCGTCTTCTGAAAAAATGAAAAGAAAAATCTCAACACGATGCAGAAAATACATCGTGTTGGTTGCAAAACTAGATTGACATTCACAATATTGTCTCAAAACAGGGGCAATAACACAATTTAGTTTGTCCTTGGGGTGGCCCATTCAACTCTGAGGATGAGATTGTCGTACCCATATCCATTGAGCTTGTTAATAGCTCTCTGTGCATCTTCCCTGTTAACAAAGTTAACAAAGCCAAATCCTCTGCTCATGCCGGTCTTTTGATCAATAGCAACATAGACCCTGCTTACAGCACCAAAAGGACGGAACAGTTCGAGTAAATCAGGTTCTCTCGTGTCTTCTGAGAGATTGGTGACACGTACAGAATTTTCATCATTCCGACGGCGCATGTCTGATCCAGTTCTTTCCGCACCAGCTCTCAGGCCAGGAGGAACATATGCTCCCTTAGCTGGACCAGAAGCAGCAGTTGCAGCTTCAGAAGCTGCAGGCTTATCAACAAATCCCTCGACTGGTGGGGCAAGATCTTTGTAAGGACACCTTGAAGTCCAGTGGTCACCCTTCTTCCCACAAGTCCTACAGACCATGAGAACAGCACCTTTCTGGAATTGTGCTAACGGGTCTCCGGCAACCTTTGGTTCTTCTGGTTTGCTACCTGTTGACACTTGCATAGTTATGGATATAGCAGACTAATTGCTCTACCAGAGCAGGTTTTGGTGAGTAAAAATAGAGACAGCCAGACATTTAGGCACCTGAACCAAAATGCACATAAACAAATATGCAACACCATCTTTGGTTGACAGTCTTACTGATAACAAGAATTACAAGGTCAATCCTCAAAAGCAAAGCATTATCATGCTAGATGTCATATCAACTGTAAATCAAGTATGGCAGCATAAAAGACACTTAAAGTTGGCTCATGTAGCTGAATGGGTGAGGGTTTGAGTAAAGGATCACAAATTTGATTCTCAAACCCAAAAAAAAACAGCAGCATATTCAATATTTTCCCCCTTTTCAAATAAAGGCAAGTGCAAACTCGTGTAATCTATTGTCACTAATAACATTACTTCTGCCCTAAAGATGACTCCAAACCACTAAACCAAAGCTCATTAGTCTCATAACACTAATCATTTGCAAGCCCAGCAGCCACTTCTAAAATTTGAATGCACTCCAGAAGTATAATAACAAGGGCTTCACATCTAAATTTATTTTCCCACAGAACCCTTACATATCCAGGTTCCCACACTACAATGAATGGATTTAAACAAGGAAACAATTCAAATACAGAGTGAGTAGTCTCCAGGGAAATGAAGTAGGCAAACAATAAGCTCTAAGACATATGGTACACAAATAAGTAAGATCTGTCTCAATGCCTTCCACTTAAATGAGGAAGCAATGAAAAAACTTACAATAAAGCACAGATTTTACCTTCGCATACTTTGACAAAATATGTTATGAGATAACAATGTGGAAAATAGAAATCAATATCCTCTTGGGCAATGTTTGGCTGGTAGAAAAGTGTTTTCTAGCGAGAAAATGGTAAATGCACCTATTCCATTTTCTTTCTAGATACATTCTCCCTTTCCTTTCTAGGAAACACTTTTCCCTATACCAAACATGCACTTAATCTTCAACTTTTTCCAGCGACAAAAAGCCTAAAATAAGAGAGAAAGTTGATCATAAAGGCCATGAATAACTCCATAACAACCAATGTCAAATATCACTACAGCATTGGCACTTTTCTTGCATCCAAAAAACCAAAAAACATCTGGCAGCGTTCAAAAGAATTGAGCTTGCAAGCAAAGAGACATATACACCATATAAAAATACACAATCAATCGCACAATATGTTGTCAACAAGTGATTGTCAAAAATGCTTGTCATGCATAATTAAATAACTACTAAACGTGTCACATTCCACTGCTTCATTTTCAGTATAAACAAACCCTGAATAAACTCGCCAAGCTACTGATATTTTTTTTTTTTGGACAAAACGTATGCCATATATTTTACGGCTAATACTAAAAAAATCACAACATACAACAATCAAATTGATGCAGCCTTCGGGCTTTTTTTTTCCTTCATGCTAACAATTTTATTTCCCTAAATTTTCTGATCAGAAAGAAAGATTATTCAGCTGAGGCAAAGTAGAACCATGCGTTTAATGTATTCGGGGAAAAAGAAAGAAAGAAATTGATTTTAACGTGACAATAAGTCATCACAGAATATTCATGCTTCTCCAAACATAACCTAAAACAAAAAACGGAGGCAGTAAACTCAAGCATAGCGAGGTAGAAACAAACCAGGGGCCCTAGGTCGTTCGAGCAGGATCTCTTCTGTGGATACCATAGTGAGCCTGCTACCAACATCCTCATGAACAGCATCGCCAAACTTAGCCCAGGATCGCCTCTCGATGGCTCGTTTGCTGAGGCGAGCATTAGCAAGCTTTCGAGTCCGGGTGGTGGTTGTGATCTTGACCTTATTGCCGTCTTCATTGAATTTGTACTCAATGACCTTCTTTATCCCGTTCTCGTCAGGACCTATGACCTGTCGCGGCGGCAGTAAAAAGTCAAGATCCTCACCATCGTCCTCATCAAGCTCGCCCCATCGTAGCTTTGCCGGTTGAGAAGGGATGGAGGCCACCGGAACGGGTCCTGCCGTTTTGGACAACGCCATGCTTCCTTCCCTGACGGTCACCGCGACTGCGAGCGGTGGGAGGTCGAGTGTATTGCAATCTACTCGTGGTCTAGGGCTTCAGGATGAAAATTGATTTTGATTTTTTTTTTTGTTTGTTATGAGAAAATGACAATTAGAGACCCAAGAAAAACATTAATGACAATTGCAAACCCTAAATTATTTTTTTTTGGAACAAAAACCCTGAATTATTAAAATATCAATAATAGACTATAGTTTTTACTTGCAATTAAAAAAATGTGAATTGTTAGTTGAGAAATTTACTTAATACAATTGAAATTATTTGTAATCAATTAAAAATTTATAAGAGTTGGTTATGATATCAATTTTTTTCAATACACTTAGAATTATCAATAATGTTAGTTGAGAATTTATAAGAATACTCAATCATGAATCACATGCCAATTACTTAAATTTTTTTTCTATCAATATATAGATAAATATACTAAATTCATTTAATGTAACATCCTAAATTGTGAATTCCTAAATTAAATTAATTAAATAAGGATAATTAAATAAAATTTAGTGTAAATTAGTTTAATAATAACTAGTGATGGCTAATGGGCCTATTGATACGAAATAAAGCCTTTGGATTAGGCTTGAAAGAGTTTTGGATCACTTAAGCCCAAATCAGGAGAGCAAATCAAGCAAGCACTCTCTATGTTGTAACATCCTGAGTTATTAATTTGAAAACTAATTATTAATTATAGATTAATTATGTTAATCATGATTTCAAATTATGAATTCACATTTTAGGTTATTAGACAATTGTATGATTAGGATTGGTGGAAGTGGAGCAATCCATGACAGAACCAGAAAACTAGAGTGAGAAAATTCTCACTGTGCTATAGGTTGTAGTATATGGATTAGAAAATTGAATAATAGATATGTGAATCAACTTGTGGACTAGAGAGGAAAAAAAGGAGAGCCATAACGCATGAATAAGAAAATTGAATAATAAAAATGTGAATTAGCTCATGGACCAAAGACGAAAAAAGGGAGAAACACATGAGAAGAGAGGGAGGAAAGCTCACTATGCTAGGCCAAGGGAGTTTGGTCACTTGGGAGATAGTTATCTTGGTTGTAAGGAAGGTTGTGTAACATCCTGATTTCCTCATCCTGAGATTAATTGCTAATTAGGGGTAAATTAGTAAATTAATAGGTGATTAAGAGTTTGGATGGTAAATTAGTGTTTTGACTTCTCGAAATGTTGGATGAATAGGATTGAGTGAAAGAACGGTATTTCAAAGGGAAGCGTGTGAGCTAAGTAAGAGTTTTTTCACTGTGCCATAAAGTAAGAGTTTTTTCATTGTGCCACAACGCTGCATGATCAACTCATGGCTAAAAAGGAGAAAAGAGGAAAAGAAGCACGAGGGAGAAGAGAGGGAAGACTGGTATGCTAGGACATCAAGTTTTGGAGTCTTGGGAGATAATTTCGACTAGTCGTTTGTCAAGTAAGTTTCACAAAAAGTCTCAAGGGGTTAATTTGTTTCCCTTTAGTAATAAAAAAATTCTTAAGAGTTGAACTAAAGTTTTGTAACTAGTTTGAAAAATAACATCTAAGCTTTAGGGCTGTAAGATAAATTTAGCCATAAATTGATAATTTAAGAAAAGGTAAAAATTGGCATGAGGTATGTTGGGACCTATAGATAGGAAGGTTAAAGAGGATAGTTAAGACCTAGATTGATCAAGTAGGAGGAAATGAATAGTTAACTGTGAATAATTAGTATTGGTGGTCAATTTGTAAATTAATTAATAGTGATAATTGTATAGGTTGATGTGTTGTGCGAGCAACCTAAGGTAATCAAAGCAAGCTGTGATGCTAATGATCAAAACAATACTATAGTGATAAAAAGGTTGAGATAACTAAATAATTCACTCTGTTTTATTAGTTCGCTTAACTAATTGTGAGCATTTATGTGATACTCTATGAATGTATTTTGAATTAGCGCATGTTTGAGAAATGAGTATATTTTGAATAATTTTAAAGAGATGGATTTATGAAAGAGAGTGTGTGGAGGGGCTTGGATTACAAGCATATGGTTTGTATATGTGCATTGTGAGCATGATTATATTAAAGGTGGAAACTCACCTGTAGGGAGAAGTAGTAAAAGACTATATGTATGAATGTGGTGAACTGTTATTTGTTGAGCTAAGATATATATAGTGGTGACGATGTGGAGAATTTGGCTGGAAATAAATAAAATATATATATATATATATATTGTGAACCATGAAAATAGATCGTATTGAGTAAAAAGGACAATTTAATGGCCAAATTAGTATAAATATGTGATTTTATTGGTATTATTGGTTAATCAGGTGAAATACGTTTTATTGGATGTGGTCGAACTCGTGTGAGTGGCTAATGATGCACGAGTTAGAATTTGGACATACGGGTTGGGTGAAAATGACAAAAGCAATCAAGTGCCCACTTTTAAATCAAAATATTGGATAGAAACCAAACCCATATCATTAGATAGCTTATCACATTAGCTTTGTGTGTGTGCTTAAATAACTTCGATTAGACTGCATATAAGGAAATGATGCACGTCAGAAGTTCGTATTAATGAGTTATCACTAACAGCAAAATATGATACATGCACTACGACATATGTTATAAATGAGAGCTTTTATTTTTATACCATATGCCATGGCATATGGCCACTTTTTAGAAAATGTTGTTTTGTTTTCATTTTCACTTTATATGCCGCAAATGCAACCTAACAGTTTCTGCTGAGCTATAAATAAAGACTTTTAAAGGAATTTTGTTGATTTTAAAAAGATTTTGGGATCCCAAATATTTAAAAATATTTATTTTTATTATTTTAAATAACTATCATTTTGATAATAAGAGAGGTTTGTGGGACCTCTAATTGTGTTTGTTGGACTAAGTATGATAAATTAGTAATGTTAGGTTGGACATTAAAGGTTAGACGCCATTGATGGTATTTAATGAATTCATTAATGATAGTTGAAACTAAAGGGAGTTATTTAAACTTTTCATATTTAGTTTTGAATTTAAGCTCTTCATATTTAGTTTTGAAGTTTCCTTAAGATTAAGTAGTCGGGTCTTGAGTTTTGGGATGAATCCCAGACATTCAAATGATGTTTTTGGATTATTGGATATTGTAATCAATATTTTTGAAACTCATATGAGCTAATTATAGTTAATGAGAGCCAATGTACCTATTGATTGTGAGTAAATTCAAGAGATTAATATTATAGAGTGGCTAAATTTTTGAAAAGGGGAGTAGGATGCATATTTATGATGATACTAATGGTATGTTGGTATGATTAATAGTAAAGTAATAATTGTTTACATTGTTTGGCTTGAAACTGGCCTTAAAAGCAAGTTGTGTTTGAAGGATAATTTTTAATCTCTAAAAAGTTTTAGGTATCCGGGAGAATCTATTAATTGTGTGTTAATTAGTCTAAATCTCTACGTGACATGTTTTTAATATGAAAAGTTAAAATTCTTATTTGCCATTATGTAGTATATTTTGTAAAGCACTTTTGAAGCTATGATAATTATGTAAATTATGATGTGATGATAAAATGAATAAAATCACATATTTGGTCATAATAATGAGAAATTTATAATGACTATTTGATAATGAATTGATTATGATATGATAATGATGAAAAGTGTTGGCATGTAAATCAAGCTTGTGATATAAAGATAAATAGTTATATGTGATGTTATGATGTAAAATTCTATGAGATGCTCGCATGATTTGGCTTATTATATGAGGGAAAGCAATGTGATTGTTATTGTGAAATATAAGCATGTGAAAATATGAGCATGAATTCATTGCATGATTGTATTGGTGGAAGTTTGCCCTAGAAGAAGAGTAGTAATAAAATCAATGTTGTATTGGGTACTTGTCATTGAAATTGAAAGCTAGCCTGACTACTAACCATTGAAACGGGTAAGTAACCGCTGTTCTATTATTTGTCGAGAAATTGTCCCATAAGTTGTCAAAAAACTTAAACCTAACTTGTTTCCAGTTGTTCTCCGAGGAGACTAGCTTAGGGTTTATGACACGGTCAGCAACTAAGTCTTTAACAATTCATTACGAGGGCCCTTGAGCATGATAAAAGGAACCATTAAAGTGATCACAAATGTCAGAACCCCTTCATCCATATCACTGATATGCAAATCAACTTTTCAATGATGGTTCCCCAATCATTTAAAGCTTGAGCGAAAACCTCCTACCGTCACAGCTATGCTCAACTTTTCTACCTTGTTTGTCTCTTTGGTTCTCCTATTAGGGATTGTCTTTTTTATTCGATCTCTATCCATGTTACGCGAAACTTCCAATGATGCTCATATATTAGTTTTAAAGAAGAGTTGCATAATTATGGTGATGCACAATTGCACAAAGAGATGAAAGATCCAAGTTGTAACTCGTGTTATCGGCTAGAAACATCTTCGATTTAATGTATTCTTCTCTTCCAACAACAAGGGGCATTTCGGTCCGTTCATCCCATCTTTTTTTGAATATTAAAATGAGCTTGATCCTTCAATTTCATTTGGTCCCTAGGACGAATTTTGCTTCCAACCAGGTTCTTTTCACCAATTTTTCTATGTTGTTACCTTTTTTTTTTTTAAAGAAAACAAGTTAAACCTTTTCTCCTTTTGGTCTTGCTTTTTGTTTTTATTTTATTATATTTGCAAATTTTGGATGTAACTTTGTAGTTCAAGTATGTATAAAATTGGGGATCGCATTTGGTGCTCATAAAAGAAAATTGATAAGAACCGCATGATCACCTCCAAGATAGTCTTGGCCTTTCATTCCATTTGAAATGATATCTAGTATTAATTTTAAAATTATTTTTCAAAATTATTTTTAATATTATATTTATTAAAATAAAAAATATATAAAAAATTATAAAAATTTCAATACTAAATATGGACTATTTTGAATGTTTATTAGATGATGAACACCATGTACTCATTAGTCATCACTCCTGCTAGAATTTGGCCGATTCAGATTTAATTTTTTTTATTTTTATTTTATGTTTATTAAAATAAAAGTATGTAAAAACATAGAAATATTTAATAAAATTGTTTATCACAAATTTGGTTAATAAAAATTTAAATTTGGATAGCCTAATTTAATATTAACTTTTTATAATTTTTATAAATTAATTATCTACTTATACTCTAGACAGTATATATATAATCTAGATGATCTTTTTAATATTAAAATTTTTTATATTTTTTACAAATTAATCATCTAAATATATTTTGAATTGTCCAAATTTAGTATGAATTTATATATATATATATATATTGATAAATATAATAGTAGAAATATTTTAAAAATAATTTAAAATAAATTGCAAAATCATTAGAGTTAAAATGTAGGCCAAGATCACCTTGTGAGGATGATAGGCACCCGTTGCAAATCTTGAAACAGGAAGGCTAAGGGTTTGTTTCGTAATACGTTTTGAAAATAATTTTCTGTTATTTAGAACAATTTTTTTTTTTGCTTAGTAACATATTTTCAGAAATTATTTTAAAAAACAAAAAAATATTATTATAAAGAATAGAAAAATAAAAAATATCTTTTATATATTTTGAGAATATTGCTTTAAATATTAAGGAAGGATGTGAAAATCACTTATTTTTATTTTTTTAAGAATATATTTTATAAAACACTAATTTTTTAAACAATAAATAAAACAGTTTCAAATAAGCCTTATATTTTTCTGAAATTCAATAGTTCAAGTTTCCCACCAATTAGGCACAGGAATTATTTCTCTGACTTTGACGTGACCTAATTTATGTTTTAGATAACTATTAACTTGTGTGGATAACTCAAAAGCACATTCAAATTATATTTAAAATATATTTTCGTTAAATTTAACAAATAATTATATTCACAAATGTACTTTTATCAGATGTTAACTGAAAATTAAATACACATTATATATAAGCTTCAGATAAAAAGTTTATTTATTAAAAAAGTCTTTAAAAAGGCTCTCAAATTCTATATAAATTGATTGATTGTAATTAATTTTCTTTAAAAAAGACAGAAACGCCCTTAAACTTTTTTTTTTTTTAAATTTACCTTGGCAGTGTTGAGAAGCCATCAACTCACTGCCGGCCAACGCTAGAAGAATGGTGGCCCGCGACTGTTAATAAATCACCGGTCAAATTTTTTTTAAAATATTTATATTTTACTATTTACAAATCAAATGTAACATATGAATAATTAAATTTTTAGTATTAATTTAAATTTTTATATTACAGATCAACCTCTTACAATATTAATAATTTAATATTTATAAGACAAATTTCACAAATTCATAGGTCAATCATCTTAAATGGAATATGCAGATCATAAATATTAAAATATTAAAATATTATTTTATATAGACTATGATATAATTTTTTTTGGTGGAATATTATTTCTTTCATTTTTATTTAAAAATTAAAATATTTATTGCTTTTATATAGAAAATTAAAATAATTTATAGAAAATATTGTAATAATAAAAATTATATTAATTTTTAAAATAAAATATATAACTTCAACAAGATTTGTAAAAATATTATATGCAAAAGTTGCCTGTTTGGATATACTCTCATAGTTGATTAAATGTACCAAAATCATAGTTATGATAAAAATATTTAAACGTCCCCATTTTTACATAATCGGTTATTTGAACCCGAACAACGTTTTGCCTTAAGCTGGAAAGAATAGTTTCTGAAATTCAATTATATGGTGATTATTTGTCAAATATTTTACCTACCAAGTATACCCTTTGCATATATTCTTCGATCAAATTCCAGCTGCGCGTTGGAGCTCCTCTCATCTCCCGTCCGACTTCCAGCCTCCCTGTCTGATCCACTACGGCCACCCTCTGCATGCTTCGTCGTCATCCAACAAAGGTGTATCTTGCTCCAATTTGCTTATCCCAACTCCGATCTCATCGTTCCATCTCTGATCTGCTAGCACTCTCTTGTTATCATCCCTCCCGATTCTCGATTGACCCTCCCAATAGGATCGCAATAAAATGGGTCTGCGTAAATTCTCTCATATGGCTAAAAAGTGAGCCTTCTCTAACATTGTAGCTACCTTAGTTAAAAAAAAAGATACTTGGCTTTTTGATATTAAATTTGATTTGTTATTTTACAAATATTAAAATTATCAATATTACTAAATGATATAATTTATTATTTAAATTATCACTAATAATATTATATACCACTTTATCAATATCTATATTTTAAAAAATAATCTTTTTTATAGTAATTTATATATTTAAAATTAATTTTGGTTCAACCATTCAAGCATTTTTATGTTATCAAAATTAATTTTAAAAAATAATATTTAAATATAATTATATTATAATATAATTAAAATTAATTATAATAATTAACTTTTTATAATCAATTACTGCATCCGTTTAAAAATGTAAAATATTTTTAATTTTTTAAAATATAATTATTATTTTTTTTAAAAAAAATTTTATTAAATAAAATTATTTTATATTTATTTTAAAATATTTATGAGAGTAAATATAAAAAAATAAAATTAATTAAAAATAAATAATTATTTTATTGAAATAAAATTTAATTAAAAATATTTTATATTTTAAAACATTTATATCCGATTAAAATTCAGAGGACATTTGGCAAGTTAAAGCGCGTACCGTCTTTCCTAATTCGGGTTGCTTCCATTTTCCATTACCAATTTCTCCGCCATATTGGGTGTGAGAAGCTAAGAATCCGGCAAGATGAAGAAGGAAGACACTGTGAAGCTCATCAGCGCCGAGGGATTCGAATTTGTGGTCGACAAAGAAGCAGCTATGGTTTCACAGACGATACATAACATGCTCACCTCCCCGGGTCTGTTCATTCTTCGCTACCTGTGCGGATTTATTGTTTTGTTTTTCTCAAGGAGGAATAGGGTTTCAATTTTCTATAAAATTCTTAAAGATAATAATAGTCTGATGGAGGGATTTCTTTAACAGGTAGTTTTGCTGAGAGGCAGCGCGGTGAAGTGACTTTCCCTGAGATCAGCACCACCATTCTCGAGAAGATTTGCCAGTATTTCTATTGGCACCTGCAATTTGCTAGGTGCTGAATTCTGTCCTTTCCTTGACTATATCATCGACTGCTATTTCGTTATGTTGCTTCGGCATGCTAACCTTTTTGTCGGTGTTCTTGGGAGATTTTATCTTTGATGTGATATCTTGTTTAATCTGACTGTGTTAATAACTGCGGAATCTATTTTCTTTTCACTATCAGCAGACATACACTAAAGTGCCTTCTTTATTCCTGTATCGTTGATTTTAAATAGCAACGAAGTGGGGATTGGGGAAAGGAGAGCGGTAGGGATCATACCTTGAGATCATTATCGCCTCAATTTTAATGCAAACCACTACCTGCAGTACTCAAACGCTTTTAATTACTTTGTAAACAAACTTTATGGAGCAGTTCTTTCATTTTTTTACCCTGTCCATAGACAATCTCAAAATTTTCTTCTGGGGGACGCATGTTTTTGGGTGTACTTTTTCATTATATATAATGTATTATGTGAATATTTGTTCCCGAGGGTACTATCAACAATCTTCACCTTGAAGTGTACTAGGAGTTCTGACTTGGGAACCAAATAATGCTTCAGTTTTGTAGTCCCTATCCTTGTATTGTTTCGAGCCAATATCCTGCAAAAGTTGAATATTCTACCAGGTTGAAATTTTTTTTTTAAATTTAGCAGTTGTATTTGACTATTTTAGTTTTTGATTGGGGTTTAAGACATTTTTTAAGTTTTTTTTCTTGTATATCCAGAAGATAATGGTTTGTGTTCTGTATTCTGACTCGGGTTAACGAGGATAGACTGATAGAGATCTGTGGAATTTAGTGCTCCATTGTGGAGACATGGTTTGACGTGATATAGTCATGATCCTAAGTCCTTCTTGTGTCATTTTAGCTCAAATTCTATTATTGGGTATGCCGCATGCATTGATATGTATCCTTAGTCTTGTTCATTCCCAGCTCATATAAGTTGACGCTAGTTTCATCCTTTTATTATTATCTTGGCATAACATATGATTTCATGATTCATGTGCTTTTAAAGGTTTGGTAGTTGGTCTCACTATCTTTGGGATATCTTCTCCTCTATATATACCAGATTTGTGAATCTTTAATAGTACATTCTTTGAGTAATAGGAAGTTTCCTACTTTTTGGTTTTTAATGATAAACATTACTTGGTGAAACCAGAAAGAAAGGAGAAAATGATTATGTCTAGATATTAACTTTCAATACAAAGAAATGGGTAGGGAAGGCTTTCAAAGTCCCTTTTATCTAATGTTTGGATATAGATTCGGCTATAGTTTATGCTTGAAGCTTCTATAGGTTTAAGTTATGAGAAGATTAATGGCTGTCATGTCAAGTCAGGTTGCTCGTTGGAGAAAAAATGTAGAATTACAGTTGATAAACAAAGACAAAATTGCTGCTTGGCCCACATATATTCCCTTTTTTACTGCTGCTGTATGAGAATGGAGGGGAAAAACTTGCTTTTGGCTATGGTGTGTTAATTATTGGTGTTACTGTGATATAAAGAATTCCTACTCCAAGTGACAGAGGAACCCTGCATTATATATTTTATCGTTTTATGTAATGGAAATTATATTTATTTGTTTGTTTTTGAAAGTAACTCGTGTGATGCAATGGACACAATGTTTTATCTGAAAATTCCAGGAACAATGTATTATTACTGAATATCAACAATCATATTCCGGCATTACATAACAGAGTTTGTAATGAAAATGGAATAATAGCCATAGGTTCCCAGAATACAAGGAAAAACAAGAAAGCTGATAAGAAAGCAGTGAGAAAAAACACTAGGGGAAGAGAGACCAGAGAGAGGATTCCCCAAATCATTCCACACCCACTACCAACGGTCTGACAGATTATATCCCTTCTGCCTCCTCCAACTTGTGTAGCATCCACGTTCTCTCTCTCTCTCTCTCTCTCTCTCTCTCTCACTACATTGTATTGCTTTGGGCTCAATCCCATATCCGAGCCCTTCCGCTGTAGTCCCATTAGAATCCTCATTCCACTGTAGTCCTTCCACTTTAGCCCATATTTCCTGGACTCATTACATGCGAGTCATATGCATTTATAGAATTTAACAAATGAACCGTAGTGGTTATATAGATCATGAATAGTGCAGTTTTTTTTATTGTATATAATAATTATATATAAATGCTACAAAACCTTTCTCAGAAACTTTTCATTTTTATGCCATTCTTGTTTGTTTGTTGTAGTGGGAAGGAGACTGAGTTTCCTATTGAACCCGAATTAACTCTGGAGTTAATGATGGCTGCCAATTACCTGAATACTTGAGCATTTTGATTACACAGATGGTAACAGTTCTTGTTGGGGTTGTAAGTCGTATCTCCTTGGGAGTGTTACATTTTCACTTGTAATGCTATTTGTGTACTAACCTGCTATTTTTGGCTTTCATTGGATTCTTGTGCAGACAGAACTGTTCTAAGTAGTTATGCATCATTGTTGCAGTTGGAAACTATTTCTTTGTAGCAACTTAGTACATAAGTATTCTGTGTAATCTGACCCAGTTATCCCCGTAACTATGAATGAATTGAAGGTTTCTCTGGCCATTGTTGCCGTCAATTGACGATTATTGGGTAGACGACTAATTCAAAGGTGTAAGTCAGAGAAGCCCCCCCCCCCCTTCCCCAAAAGGAAAGCGAACTCTATGTGAGCACTCTATTTAGCGGTAAAGAATAACGACGGGGTCTTGATGAACTCTGCCATACTTATGGAGAGAACACGCATGCGGACTTATCATAGTCCTGTTCATTTTATCTTTCGTTAAAAAATTCAAAGAAAAGGAATGAGGACAGAGGGTTTTCATTCATCCTCTACTCTCTCTGGATATATATGTATGTTTAATTTAGCTTGAAGCTTTGATTGTGACGTGTTATTAATTTTAGATAGTAAATCAATCGACAAGTTATTTTGAATCATTAGACAAACGATTTAAGCATTTATGGGAGAGACAACTTCAAAGATCGAAGTGGCTTTGGGTTTTACACCAACGTTAGAACGTATGGGGCACAAAATCCGTCCATAACACGATCGGGTGTAGCTAGGCTAACGCTGTCAGATTAAATCATTATGAATGAATTAGGAATTACATGAGTTGGGACTTGGGTGGACGTGAAGGGTTAATTAAGCAGCTATCCAGCAGGAAAGAGCGTGAATAATACGGCCTTTCCATCCCAGCAGAACCCATTTGCCATTTTGGTCGACCACAAAATCCTTATGGTATTCCATCCGCACAAATTCTTGGGCTTTGTTGAGTTGTTCAGCATCCAACCAGATTTGCTTGAACCCGGCTCTGTGGTTCCTGACCTGCCACTGCCTGTATGTCTCTGGCCTCTCCACTCTCTCCGCCCCCTCACACGCTATCACATTCATGGCCTCCCTCCCAAACATCCTCTTCTCAACCACCGCCCTCTGCTCATCCTCACGTCCAACGTTAGCCTCTAGAATATCATACAATGTCGAGAAGTGGAACAGTGCCTCCTTGACTCGTGTCAGGAAAAATGGCGCGTTGTAGGTCCCATTGGCAATTCCATGCATGAATATGCTCGGTTTGATTTTCCTGATGATCTTCAAAACAGCGTCTCTCGGACAGTCCGCCTCCACGGTCTCATCGGCTAGGTTCTTCATTCGGTACATGCAGTTCACCACTGTTACCTCACTCGGATCTATTTTGAGATCCTTAAGTTGCACGGTTTCCCATCTCTGCGCAACACAATTGTATTCAAACGGCACATTGAACCTTTTGCTATAATTAGCCAAACGCCTGCCCGTCTCCTCAAGCCTCTCAGTGGGGCGAAATCCCGGTTGAGGAAAATCGATTCCTGTTATCCGAATCTTGATCGGTCCTCCTGGTCTGGTCGAGAGATGATGAATAAGGCAAGGCCACTGGAAACCGTAGTTGATCCCAAAATCAATTATATGAAGGCCTCTTCCGTCCTCTATTTGCTTCATGATCATTCGGTTGGTCATGAAATTCGTGACTCTCTGGAAAGGAGATGCTGTAATGTATAGCTTGTGAGCTCTTAACATATCAGCAGCCGTAGCCCCCACGGAATCAAGTGGCACATGAGATGGCTTCACGGCAGCCAGCCGCGTCTCCAGTCCGTCGGCAAAGTAATGAGACAGACGCTCAATCCCATCCCCAGAAGGAGAAGAGTGCTGCCTTATCTGCTTCAGAAGCTCATTTGCATTCCTTTGGTCGTAGTTTGCCACTGCCTGCGCACATTGAGTCAGTAGAATCCACAAATCTACTGTTGCCCCTTTATTTGCCCCTTTCTTGGAACGATTCGCCTTACCAGGAGATCCTTTTGGAATCATATTCCCGCTGATCTGACTCTCTGACGATGGTTCTTGAGCTATGCACTGACCTTTTCCACCCAGGCAAACGAGTACCTCATCGAACACTGCCGATTGCTCTGAATCCTCCGAGTACACCGCCGAAATCTTGCTTCCTCTTCCCTCTTCCTTGTTTGTAGTATCATCCATCTCATGGCTTCTCTTCTCCCTCCATCCACTGGGTGTTGAATTGTGCATCCCACCTCCTCCATGTTGAAAACACCATTCTTGCGCCCCCGTTAATGGATCGGGGGCCACCTCAGGACATAAATAAGAAGACCAATCGGCCTCATTCGAACGATCAGTACTGATGTAGCTGCTACTGCTCTCTAAACTAATAGCACACGGTGCATAATTGTCGTTCTCGTCATGGAAATTGCTGGCAGGGCTGTGAATGTGATGAGGCGATGCGGAAGAGCCAGGAGTAAGGATATCGTAGAATGATTTTTCAGTAGCTTGGAGTGCTAAACAATGCTGCAACATACAGGGCTGACTCTCTAAGTCGTCTTCTTCATCCATGAGGATGTCGTTTATGTATCTGAGAATAGGATTGGAATATTTGTTGATTTCCGTGAATTCTTCATTTGAACTGGTGCCAGAATGAACGGGAGACTCTGTGTTAGTCGGGAAAACAGAAGACGAGTAAACGGATTTATCACCAAAAATAAGCCCGTTGACTGAGTTTTGATTGGGGAATGAGGAAACGGGGGCATTCTCTCCGTCAAGGGAACCATCAAAGCTTTCGAGAAGGGCGTCCCCGGAGATCATGTTGCGTGCGAAGACCGGAACAGGGGTAGTAGAACTCTGAGTAGCTGCACTTGCAGGGACAAAGCTTAAATAAAATCCAGAATCTTGGACATCCAAGTGATTTGCTTGCGAAACTGCTGGCACAGTTGCAAATTACAAAATAATCCTAACACGGTAAGTGTCATGTCAGCGTCAGGCAAGAGTTCAGGTGGTGGAATGTTTATGATCTGTGTGAGGATGAAGAAGGGTCAAACTACAGAGATGGCTGAAAAATGGAGAACCTGGAATTGACTCGGCCAAATTCTTTATTAAATCCTGCGTCCAATGTGAATTAACGCACCTCATCCACTTCCACCCCTTGTACTGTAATAATCAATCATTGCGGAACATTTTCTTTTTCTGGTTATTTAATGAAGTCTGTCAAAAAAAGGCGATGACAGGTTCCGGGTTTCAGACCAGACAGGATGGAATATTCAACTTGGCAGGAGCATCTTAAGTCGCAGCATTGTGTGAAGGACAAGGTTAAACAAATCTTATTTTCCTTCTTCTTTTTTTTGACCAAGAACAAATCTTATTTTTTTAAATAAGGAGGAGGGAGTGGTTGCTCATTGGGATGCGACATCCTCTCAGTCTCAGATGCGCCGCCCGCTCCTTTTCTTTCTTTCTTTCGCTGTGAATGTTGATCCTTTTGATTAACCTATCTAATATGTGGCCAAACTTCATCAGCCTTTCCTTGTGCTGATTATTATCGATAAATTATTTCCAACAGTGAGAAATGATTAAAAAAAGGCCATGCATTACTGACGGACGAGTGCTAATTTTTTCTTCAAAAAAAAGAAGAAAAAGCAGCATCATGAAAATTAAAGTCAATAATGATTTGTGGAGTGCATGAATATTTATATGGAAAAAAACATATTGAAAGATTTAGCATTTAACTTCATTTTAGGATGCCATACAATATTAGCCTACACTCGTCTGTAATTCAAGAAGCAAGTAGGTGAGCATACCGAGAAAACAAATCCAGACTGATGCAGTGGCGGCGAGTTAAAGTAATCCAATTCAACCACTCCAGCAAGAAACAGACAAAAGAGATGGAAGAGATAATGAATGATATTATATTAAGAATTGCAGAGCCTGATTCAAACGGGCGAAAGGTGTCTCCACTTTCATTCTGTGCATTTCTCCTCCATTTCTTCAAAACGATGTCGTTTTGATTAGTGGTGAAATCTCCATCGTTCATTTCTTGTTGCGATCCTGACCGTCTGCATCATTGTCCATCCTCACACCCTCTGACGCAGCCCTCTCCCTCTCGGCACTGCTCTCTTCCTTCGTCTCGCTCTCGGTCGTCGGCTCTATGGGGAGGATATCTGAGAGACTTATCTCGGCGCTCTCCATCCTCACACCCTCAGACGCAACCCTCGCCCTCTCGACACTGCTCTCGTCCTTCGTCTCGCTCTCGGTCGTCGGCTCTATGGGGAGGATATATGAGAGACTGATCTCGGCGCTCTGGTCTGAAGTCTGAACCGAATCGTCGTCTCAGTCCTCCGAGCCCCACCTGGCCACCTTCCAACTAACTCCACTTTCACCAGCGCCATTGGACCAGCATCGAGCTTCAACTCCAGCTTCCTCACTTCTCTTCACCTCGTCTTCTCCCTGTTGACCTCTTTGATCTCGCCGTCGGCTTAATTATCTCCTCATCTAGGTCAGTGTTTTGCTCTGTTTATCTCTTCATTGGGGTTGTTGTTGGACAAAATTGATGAAGATTTGGGATCCATCAATAGTGAGATCATTCAAATGAGGATCATTATGAATCAGGCTGCGTCAAAGATGTAGAGCATTGAGGCAATGTTACTACAATTATGATTATTTTGCTGCAAGGTGTCTCCATTGCCAGTTTTCATGAGTCAAATTTGGTGAGGCCATTTATTTTTACTTTTGACCAGGGATGAATTGACTGCTCTAATAATGAGGTGTTCGCTTCTCCAATGGTACACCATTTTATTTTTGCTTTGTTTTGTTTTTGTTTTTGCAAGACATCCAAAGTTTACCTTGAAATCCAAGATCTAACGGAAGAAATTACAGAGCTAAAGAGGGGGATAAAAAAGGCAAATGACAGGTGAGAAGAGACATGGGCATGAGAGAATAGACTGATGGAGAGAGGAGCTGATATAGAGAGCAAAGAGAGATGACATAGAAGAGATTAGAGGGAGGAAATGTAAAGGGAGACACAGAATCTTCTTCTTAATATTGTGGCAGAAGAAAAGAGAGAAGAAACCAAATATAAGGCAGAAAGGGTACTGAACAGAAAAACAAGGTATGTCCATTCACGCATAGCAGCTACGTGTGGAAGACATTTCTTGTCTCCTGTGTGTCTTCCTCGTTACCAGATTAGTATTTAATTTTTAGTATGGCAAGTTGATATTAAGTAACTTAGTTTTTACTCATTAAAGATCTCTACAAGTTTCTCAATGATCCAGTGGAAAAGAATTTGCTGTGCTTGGTTTGGGTGGCAAGACATGGTTATGCATGTCTTTCTTTTAATGTTGTTCAGTGTCTAGCTCAACATTGAGGACAAGGTTGATTTTCTTTTTTAATCCAACAGACAAGGTTGATTTATATCGGGGAATAATGATTGGAATATGGTGAGAATGGTGATAATCTCACATGTCAAGAATATAAGAAGAAGGTAATTGGGACTGTGTGCTGGTTAGGTCAATGGCGATTTGCTTTCTTCTTTATTTCATTTTTTTCTCCATCACCTTCTTTTGCCATATTTACTATGTGAAAGTATTTTATACCTCTTTCCCTGTTTCTCCTTCTATGCATTTGGCTTGTGCTTCTTTCATAGACTATATCCTAGCAGTTTTTTTATGCCTGTTATTTAAATTCTACTCAGAACTAACTCTCCTCTCTATGGTTATGTATATTGATGAGGAGCAATGACAATGGATATATTATTTTTCTCTTGTTTTCTCCACTTTGGTAACTTGGTGTTGGTTTATGATTGACCTGACCCAACTGATTCTTATGTAATATGAGTGAGGTTGAGAGAGATGCTAAGTGATTTTGAAGCTTTCTCATGTATGGTTCATTGTAACATTTATTTCATTCAGGCTAGATGTTTCCTTACAAGTTGGTTCAGTTTTAATATATATATATATATATATATTTGAGGAACAGTGCTTAATATTTTCTTAATTCCTAAGGTTTTTCTTATTCACCTTGGTCTAAAGATCAAAAGTTGCCAAGCCCATAGTCAAAATCAACTTTACACATGCATTAGAACTTTACACATACAGTACAAATTTGCCAAGCCCAGCTGCAACTGTAAATTGACTAGAGACCACCTAATCATTTAGGAATTTCCTTGCTTCATTTTCTTCTTTGTCTAAGGATAATTCTCTTACACTCTATAAATTGTGTAGATTTCAAAAACAGAAATTTGTTTCGGCTTTACAAAATGGGAAGAAGCAAGCTTACAAGTATATAGTAAAGCAAGCTTACAAGTATACAAAATGAGTCTAGGCAGCATTATAGCAAAAGAACAAACATCAAAGCAAGGAGCTAGCATGACAAAAAAGAGGACCAGCCCACAAGTGTATACTGCTAAGAACAGAATGGAGACTGAAGCAAGAGGCTAGGACTGAAATGAAGACTTCACAACTGAGGATTTGTATTCACATTCAGATTTGAATCTGTAACATTGTAACAATTTATATTCAAACAATGTAATGTAATTGAATTGTAATAGAAGTTTCAATACATTTAGACAATGATTTACCTTTCTCAAATACTTGACTAAATTCAATTGCTTCAAGTGACTTCATATTGTTGTTCAATGAATCCTACAAACACAAAAATAAAATGACAATAGTATGAAATATGCTGTGAATGACATTTAAGTTAGTTGAGAATAAGAACTTGAAATATAATATCTTTACCATCGTCAATATTGTGAATGACATTTGACTTACTTGAAGTGGATCATGTTGTGTTGTTATTGGTGTATTTGGCACAGGCAGACCATATTGCCCTTGCACTAGCATACCTAACACGGGGGGGCTATATTGCCCTTGTACCGGCATCCTTGACACGGTGGGGCCATATTGCCCTTGTACCGGCATCCTTGACACGGTGGGGCCATATTGCCCTTGCACTAGCATACTTGACACGGGAGGACCATATAGCATTTGCACAGGCATACTTGGTACGAGGGGGCCATTTTGCACTTGCACCGACATACTTGGCACAAGGGGGCCAGTTTGCACTTGCACCGGCATATTTGACACAATGGGGCCACATTGCACTTGCACCGGCATATTTGACACAGGGGGGCCACATTGCACTTGCACCGGCATATTTGACACAGGGGGGCCACATTGCACTTGCACCGGCATATTTGACACAGGGGGGCCACATTGCACTTGCACCGGCATATTTGACACAGGGGGGCCACATTGCACTTGCACCGGCATATTTGACACAGGGGGGCCACATTGCACTTGCACCAGCATATTTGACACAGGGGGGTCATTTTGCACTTGCACTGGCATATTTGACACAAGGGAGCCATATTGTACCGAAGATGATGATCTACCCACTTCTAATATATTTTGTGTGTCCTGCAACAATATCGGTTAAATGTCATAAAAAAATCATGCTAATAAAAATTCAAAGTAAAATAATTATACCTTTGAACATTGTGAAGACTTGTTAGTAGATTTTTTTAAAGTCTTAACTTTTTTTCTTTTTTGACTTGGATTGTCGACCCAACTTGGACTAATCTTTTTGCGCTCTCTCTTCTTGAATCCAATGCCTGAACCATCATTCTTACCAACATCATCATCAACACCTCCTTCATTATTAACACTATCTGATGAGTGGTTAATAAGAAGTTGAGACACTTTCTTGCTAAGCTCTAGCACTGCTTGATGAACCATAGAGAATGCCTCTGAACATTCAGATGCATCACTAGCTAATTTTATGAGCATGGGGCACAATTGCCTATATCGATTCGAGCATTCTAGTTTAGGATCAACTTCAATTTCCTTTCCCTTACTATCATGCACTACACCACACCTTGCTTCTTTTGTCCACCTCTTTAACACATATTGCTTTGGAAGTAGCTTTACATCTTGGTCATACAATATCCTCAATGCATGACAGCATAGTATTCCCCATTGTTCAAACTTCTTACAATTACAAGTAATGACAGCCTCTTTATCTTCTCTTGATGGCTCAAATGTCAATCTCCACTCTCCTTTTTTATCAACCATTGTGATTACATAATCAATAACAAGAGCATCATCATCTGCAGCTATTTTTCTTTCTTTCCTCTCTTTTATACACGTAGCATCACGTAAGTCATACTCATGCTGGAACAAGTCAAAAATTGGTGGTGTGTAAACTTGAGAAAGCTGTTGCAGCATAGACGAACTCTTCAATATCAACCTTGGCAACTTCTGGCGTGAGTTGAAGTCACTTTGCAATTCATTATACCGCTTATCCACAACAACTTGTTCAAAGACATTGAAGAATTGACTAATATTCAATTCAGGATTAGTGCAACTTTTTATAAATGAATTGATACTTTCACTAAGTTGTGTACTTCTCATACCAAGAGTCTTTGAGTACTTCATGTAACATGCTGCCCATTTTTCTTTTAACTTGTAAATAGACATCAACCATGGATTTTCTTCTACATTATATTTTGATAATAATTCTTTCCAAGATTCCTCAAACCTTGTTTCTTCCTTGCAATGATACATGCACCAATTAAACTCACCCAGAAAACGAGAGCCATCTTTCATTAAGTTTCCAAGATGTTTCACCCCATTTCTATTGATGTGGAATGTGCATAAGCCATGCTTTACATTTGGCATTATTTCTTCTAAGGCTCTTGCCATTGCTGCATCTTGGTCAGTAAACATAGTAAATGGCATTTTTTGCTTATGTGCTTGTAAAAAGGTTTCAAAAAGCCATTTAAAAGACTCAATAGTCTCATCATATAATAAAGCAGCACCAAATATCACTACTTCTCTGTAATGGTTGAAACCTGAGAAAATGGCAAGTGGTCTGTTGTCACGATTTGTAGAGTATGTTGTATCAAATGAAATGACATCCCCAAAACAATCATAATCTATCAACATACGTGCATCAGCCCAAAACACATTAGTTATCTGCTCTTCTGAGTCCATTTGATAAGCATGAAAAAATGAAGGATTTTCTGTCAATTGTTGTTGAAAATAGCGAAGTAAAAACCCAGCTTCACCATAGATCATGTCTCGTTGCCTCCTTGATCTTAGATAACTCTTTACCTCCTCTTTGGTATACCCCAAATTAGCCCTCCCTCCTACATATTTGCTCATTAAATTAAAAGAGGCTTTTTGCTTAATCCCCGTATCTTCAGCAAACTCCAAAGCATAGCCTTGTGCTTTCGGTAATCTCCTTTGTGATGCTAATAAATGAATAGTCTCTGGGGGCTCTAAAGGGTGATTATGGTCCAAAAATAGTTCACTAACTCTAAATCTTTCATTCACCTTTTTAATTATCATTTTCACTTCACACCCTGTTCTTGTTTCCTTTCGAGGCTTCTTAGTTTTAAAGTCTCTTTTATCTGCTTTTTTCACTCCCTCCTTGGAACAAACATATTTGCAATATATGATAGAATCATCCTTCTTGCTCTTATTAGAGTTTTGCTTTCTAACACTGAATCCTATTCTTCCACCATAGTCAATCCAATATTGCCATGCCTCTTCTAGATCATCAAATTCAAGACCAACTATTGGAGTCATACTTGTGTCCATTACTTAAAGCTAACAAGAAAAGCTGAAAAACAAAAACACTAAAACCAAGAGTAAGCAGATAAAAAAATAAATAAACACTGTTATTCATGAGAGTTAACAAAAAACTATTAATGAATTTAAAAATAACCTAAGAGCTTGGTGATGCATTCATTTATGCAAAGCTAAGGGATAATAACGTGTTAAATGGTCAGCATTACTTTCTTGTAGTTGTGACTGTCATCAAAAAAATTTATGTGCAGCACAAGTCCATGGCAAATTAGTAATGTGTTTCAAAATTAATTTAAACATAAAAACAGGGGAGGAAAATGAACAATGTAAGGGAGAAAGAGAGAGAGAATGGCAACCACGTTCAGCAAAGTTTAAATGAGGGATAGAAATGATCAACAAATAGGAAAAAAATGGAACCATACCAAATTATAATTAAAATCCTTCCTTAATCAAAATATTTTCTTGGTCAGAATTTCTTTTTGCTGTGTGAGCACATTTCTGTTCTGGAAGAGTGAGAAAAACAGAGGTTTCCGAGCGCGCTGGTGGAGATAAAAATAACACATTATTTGGCTTTCTTTTGTCTTTTTTCCTCCCACTTAGACGATGCCGTTTTGAGAAGTGGAGGGAAATGCACCAAATGAAAAATGGAGACACCCTCAGCGCGATTCAAACTTGGTCTCCTTCCCCAGTCCCTTCCACACACATACATCAACATGCAATCACTCAGATTTGTCTCTGTTTTCTCTTACTATAAAGAAATAAAATCAAATATTTTATTGGCCACGGCATGCTGTACAATTAACAGCAACGGAATCAAGCCTCCTTGGGGAACGATCATTTGTTTCCAATCCACCTCGCAACCCATCCGTTGCCACAAACGACTGGTCAAAAATTTATGTCTACAACCCCCCCCCCCCACATTACTCTGTCTTTATCTAATGTCAAACAAAAGAGTCATTTGTCTGAATCTCGCACAGCCTCCAGGTTAAACATGTTAACAAGAAAGCTTCTCCTTGATAATTCAAACACAAAACAAAAAATTGTTTTATTGTATACTCACAAAAGCCGTTTCAGTTCTTCAATTGAATTAATCTGACTCTACATTTTTCAGTTCAAAATATTGTTTCCATATACTTTAAGGCTGTTTTAGTGGTTTATTTCTTTTAGAAAAAAATTAATTAATAAGAAGAAGATTTAAGGTCAAGGTCAGTTTAGTAGCATCTACCATGGTTTATTTTTGTTGAGAAGACACAATTATTAATTTCTATAATTTTTTTAGTACTTTTAGTTTTTATAATTTTTTGAGTGTTTTCTATTTCAATAATATTAATAATATTAGATGATGTTTATTATTTAAATATTTATAATTTCAGTTTTTTAATTAAAAATAAGACTTGATAAAATTATAGGGGTATATAATTTTGTTTTTTTTATACTATCATACGATTATAATTTTTTATTTTTTGGGAAAACAGGGCATGGCGGCTGCTGCTGTAAAGGAGGTTTATGGTGAGGGTGCCAAGTTCGCGTACAAAATGTGGCTCTTGTAAAAATTGACTCTCAAATCCCAAGCTTATTGATAGACCACCTGTGTGTTGAAGATGTTTGATAAAAACGTTAGAGTGAAAGTCGAAAGTCAATATGGAGAGGGAAAAAGATGTGGGGTCATATCAATCATCAGCAAATGTCCGCTCAGTTGAATTAAATATGGAGAGATTTGAGCACCATCGACCATCAATTAGAGTGATGAAATTTTCACACTCAAAGGCTGAATAATGCAAAGATACATGCACATCCCCCCTCCATCAAATCACTACACCGCTATCCTGATTGTTGCAGAGATGGACGGTTTGGAGGAAAGCCACCACAAGAAACTACAGGCAAAGCAGAACACTTAAAAATTATAATGAAATCTAAGACTTCAGGTTGGGTGAAGTTTTCTTCAATTCTTTTCCCTCCTTTTCTTTTTATTTTTTAATCATGATCATTAATTTTATTTTATTAAATAAATTTATTTTAATTATAAATTTAATAAATGATCATGATTGAGAAATGAAAAGAAAAAAAAGAGAGAGAAGGGGAGAGATCCCTCAGATCAGGTATGATTTCTTGAGGCTGCTATTAGATAAGTGGATTCTGAATTTCTGATTCATAACTTAACAATTCGCTCGTTGTTTTTCCCTGTACGTCTCTCTGACAAAGAAGATAGAAAGAGAGAGTTTTGGACTCATGCACGGCTTCACTTTCCTTTTGGTGTAGATATGTGAGAATGCAGATTCATTCCCGCTAGATCCCCCCCCCCTCCAAAAAAAATAAATAAATAAATAACACACACATGTATATAATTTATAAAAAAAATTAATCATTTGATGCTTATAATTTTAACCTAATTATAATTTGGTCTCTAAATTTTAACTCATTATAATTCAATACTCATTATAATTCAATTCTTAAAATTTTGACTTGGTTGTAAATCAATCCTTAAACTTTATTTTTTATAATTTAATCCCTGAAATTTTAACTTCTTAAATATTAATTTCTATATTTTAAAAATATAAAATTATAAAAATTAAAAATATTTTAAATTTTAATATTTATAAATATTAAAAGGGTTTAGTAATTTAAGATATTAGTAATAAATTTTAAAATATTTTTAATTTTTATAATTTTATTTTTTTAAAATATAAGGACTAATATTTAAAAGGTTGAAACCTCAAGGATTAAATTATAAGAGGTAAAGTTTAAGAATTGATTTACAACTGAGTCAAAACTTTAAAAATTAAATTATAACAAGTTAAAATTTAAAAATTAAATTATAATTAAGTTAAAACTATATAAATTAAATAATTATTTTTTAAATTTTTTATCAATAGTCAATCACACTGGGATACAATACAGGTCCCCCCCCCCCCCCAATAGTTCATGTGGTTAAAACTAATGGTAAACAGCATCATGCCGTCAGTACAATCCAATTTTGACTCTGTACGCTTATTGGTATAACAGTTTTTAGGGGGGCAAAATATATTGACACGCACTGCGTTACAGTGAAACACGCAACTGAATATCCTTGTTCAATTTTCAATATTTTAAAATTTTATCCACTGCTACTGTCTAACAACTTGATAATCAGTTTTAAAACAATTATAAAATCCGAAAAAGAGAATAGACCTAGTGAATTGTTTACGAGCATTTTGCGTTAATTTTATTGGCATGTTTGTGAGATACACGCATCTAAGATAGCATTCGTGCTGAGCGCAAATTATTTTTGTATTGATTTGATGATTTTACATAGACAAACTGTAGCGTTTCTGATACAAGAGAAATTTCACTTCAAAGTACATTTCATTTTACATAACCAGAGAATATCATGCCCTGGGGAGCACAGAAACAACAATTTTTTGCATTTTTAAGGCGTAAGGTGCCAGAGCATCAAGTCAAAGAGCTCAAAACACAGCGAGTTTGGTACGGACATTTAAAATGACATGTTATGTTACTGTCAAAATGGGGACGGGGCTACACCTGAAAATGGATATATGGCAGTTAAAGTGACAGACTTGGACGCTGCCGACTATGCAAAAGCAAATTTTGATGGCCTACATTCCTCCAAACATAAACGCGCAACCCTGCTCATAGTTGCCCATCTTCTCATCTAATATATACACACACAGGATTTTTGCATTACATCCCAAAACCTCATTTCTTAGACAATGACCATTACAATCTTAACACCAAATATATTTATGAATAAAATCCCTAACTTGTATCGAAATTCCATCACGACTCAAGGTCAAGTGAACTGGTTATAGATAAAAGATTTACCATGACCTGAAACCATGAAAAAAAAAAAGCACATTAATTAATAAGGTTCTCCATGCATCACATCGTGCTTGCAACATAAACCGAAGTAACCACCAAGTTTTATTTATAGCGCAGAACTTCAACAGAACTATGAGTGTAGAACGGACAGGAGATAACTGATACTCTGTTACATGAATTGCAACACAAGTTGAGACAGGCCACACAGTATTATGCTGGAACCCAACAAGTTGACGCATATAAAATGCGTCCCTTCCAGCCCTGAAGCATCCAGTTGTTGTCTTCATCAAACACAAAATCTTTATGGTACCATGCCTCCATCTTTTCCCTGAACTTGGCCATAAGCTCCTTATTCAGTGGGAGCTGCTTGAAACCTGCCCTTGTAACCCTGGCCTGCCATTGTTTATATGTCTCAGGCCTCTCAACCCTTTCTAATCCTTCACATGCCACAACGTTCATAGCCTCCCGACCATAAATTTCTTTCTCAAGCATCAACCTCCATTGATTTTCACGGGGTATCAAAGTATCAAACATATCATACAATGCAGAGAAATGGAACAGTGCCTCCCTGAACCGTGTAACAAAGAAAGGGGCATTGTAGGATCCATTAAGAATGGATTGAATAAAAAGATCCGGTTTCATCTGCCTTATCAGATTTAGAGTTGCATTCCTTGGACTCTTCACTTCAATTGTCTCATCCAGTAAATTCTTAAACCTCACCAAGCAGTTCACAGCAAGTACCTCATTCCTCTCAATCTTAAGGTCTTCAATTTGGATGGTTTCCCAGTTTTGTGATGCTATAGCTTTGTACTCAAAGGGAACATTAAAACGACTGCAATAGTTAGCAAGACGACGACCGGTTTCCTCAATTCTTTCTGCTGGACGAAAGCCAGGTTGGGGAAATTCTATTCCGGTGATGCGTAGCTTGGGAGGTCCACCAGCTCTAATTGAAAGAAACTTGATAAGCATTGGCCACTGAAAGCCATATAGGATCCCAAAATCAATAATATGAAGGGTTTCTGCCTTTTCAACCGCTTTTAAAATCATCTTTATTGCAAAGAAATGTGCAAACTTCTTAAAAGGTGAGGCAGATATTGAAACTTGGTAAGCTTTCAAAATATCAGCAGCAGAGATCCTCTTGGAGCTCAGAGAAGTATAAAAAAGCTGAGTTCCAGCACCACCACCAACCAAACGTGCCTCAAGGCCATTCGCGAAATAATGAGCCACCCTCTGAGATGCATCCCCGAAGGGAGAAGAATGCTGCCTGATCTGTTTTAGTAATTCATGAGCAGTCCTGCTATCGTTGGCAGACACGGCTTGTGCGCATGAAACCAAAAGTGTCCTCAAATCCACCGTTTCCTTCTTGCTCCCTTGTTTCTTAGAGCGTGTCTTCCCTCCATCAGATGGTTCCACAACCTGATCATTTGGCTGCACGTCTTTCCCTGATCCAGAGTGCAAGCTTTCGTGCTCAGCACATAATGGAACATTCTCAACGCTAAGCAACACTTTGTCAAACATTTCCGATAATTCACTCTCATCAACATACACTGCTGACTGTTTGTTGCTTCTCCCTTCTTCTTCATCAACAATACCATCACGGTCATGATTCTTTCTACCCTTTAACCCATGTAAATTCTCCCTAGCATCTTTCTCTTTATTCAGCGTCGCCTTTTCTCCAACTCCCTTTGACTGTACAGAAACTGTGGTGCTCTCCAGACCCGTGACGAGTTGAGCTCCTCTAGGAAGAAATTTGCTAGCTTCCTCTAAACCTCTATTGAATTGCGAGACAGAGTCTGCATCACTAAAGATATTTTGAGCCAAAAGCTGAGTAATAGAAGAATCCAAATTCAACAGTCCATCACTAATATTAGTTAAAGTATTTGGAGATTGTGAGGACTGCTGAGACACGGGTTGCGATTTGAACTGGAAAACATGATCCCCCAAAACAGAGGTCTCTGGTGAAGAGGGCCTTAATTCTAAGTCGTTGGTGCTGGTGCTGGTGCCGCCACCGCTAGTACTAGAATCAGTAGTAGTTCCAGAGGAATGACCATCCGGGCTCTCAACAAAGTCAAGGAGAGGGTGCTCATTAGGGGAGTGAGGGTTGTTGTATCTAAGAGCATCATAGAATGATTTCTCAGTAAGTTTTAGACTGAGTGGATCATAAAACATGCATGGCTTCTGTTCCAAGTTCTCTTCCATAAGAACTTGGCTCATGTACTTGATGGTTTCTGAAAAATCGTAGTCTTCTAGAGAAGGATCCGGAGCCGAGGTCACGGCTGAATAAGGGGCATGCGGCACTCCTTCCACAGGACTCGCACTCTGGGATGGATTCGGCGGCACTTCTTCAGAAACCAAGCTCGTGTGCGGAGCATAACTAAGGGGGCCCACATCAGGTTGATGAAAAATATCACGGTAGAAATTAAGAACGGTCTGATGATCTTCGTCAGGATTCCACTCATCTCCTGGATTTAGGTATTGATTTGTATCAGAGAAGACGGTGCCGTCAGCTATTTTGTGTCCGTTCATGGAATCATGAGTTCCAGGCAAATTTGGATCCATAAATCTAGAGGTAGCGACAAGAGCGGGCGTGGAAGTTGCGGCTACTAGCCACACAAGATCCCTCGTAGATCCTCAAATAGCCAATGAGGAACCGAAACAGGGGAATTTCAGAATAGGACTAGGGATTGGACAAAAGGCGAAGAGGGATGGGGAAAATAACAAAGTATAAACGCCGAGTATGGTTAGAACGGAATATGGAACGAACCTAGAATGATTCAATGGGGGGCCGAATCCATCTAGGCCTGAATCTTAGCATTGACGGGTTGCAATCTACCGTTGGATGGAAGTCCGGAGAGAGAAAGAGTAAAAGTGATACGGAAGGGGCAGGAGATGAGGGTGGGTGGCAGTTTGAGATGGTGAGCTTCAACTTGGGAGAGGTGTAGCAGTGGCCGGCTTTCATTTCATTTTGACAGCGGAATTTTCAAAGAACATGGCTCCAAGTTTACAAGGTCAAAAGCTTGAGCCAGTCCTACTGCTAGAGATAATTTTAAGGGAGGATGAGGGAGGTAAGGATTAATTAATTTAAATTAAATTTTAAATATTTTAACTCAATTTTTTAATTTTATAATCTTATAATGTTAAAATTTAAAATATAAATTATAAATTTATTATAATATAATTATAAATTTGAGAAATTAAGTTATAAATTTTTAAAGTTTAACACTTAAAATATAATTTAAATTAATTGATATTTTTATAACTTATCATCATTCTCCCTAATTTCAATGTCTCATTCTGTCTCTTTCCTCTTCTCTTGTCGTTTACATTTCTTCTTCTGTCTTTCCGTCTTTGGTTTTTTTTTTTTTTCAAATTTTATTTCATGGTTAGCAACATATTGTATGTTGGATATTTAGTTTAGTGTTGGTAAATAATGTCATAAATTTGATTCATGCACAGCGTAACCGAGGATAAAAAAGCAGCGCTCTAGGGGGAATAGGAAATTAATGGAAACAGCCTCCCAGAGAGTATAAACAAACACGATCACATAATTGCTTGCTTGGGTTCAAGGGATGTACATGGTGTGGGTCGACATCAACAGAGTATAGAATACCAAGTTTACAAGGTTCTAGGGAGCCCCTTCTTGTTGGCCTGTTGAGTGTTGCTCTGTCTGTCCAGTAAACAGGAAAAAGTCTTAATTTAAATGCTGTCGTATTCGTTGAAGGATATAATTCAAGCTTCATCAACTTTTTCTTTTATTCAATCCCTGTCGCTCCCATATTATCATCGTTGCTTTGATAGGGTTTAATAATAAAATCATCCGATGTTGAAGATATTTGTAACGGTGGCTGGTGAACACAGGTGAGGTGTTGCGAAAACACACTGAAGCAAGTGTACAAAATCTTAATTAACACCAAGCCCTCATATTGTGCCCAAAAAAGCTCACTCACGTGTCCTCACCTGGCCACCAACTTCACATGATTCAAGCTCGAGATTTGTTTTTCCCATTCAACATCCTGCCATTCCAACGGAAGCATCACTAATATAATATTAGTTAGAGCGGGATGGATTAATCTGGGAAGTGCCGTGTTAACTTTTGAAGAGGCTCTCAAACTGATTCTCGTGAACTGAATGCACAGAAAGGAGTGTAAACTCGGATTAGAAACAGGGAAGAGGGAACAACAATGGATGCCGACACCACCTCAGACAGACCACGAGAAGCTGCCTGCCAAGGGACTAGCTTCGATTCTGCATGAGTTTCAGCTGCGCAAGACGGGGCAATCAGTGGATTCACTAGTTAACGCTCAATTACGTTACGTTAAATTACATACATGTCTATAAATTTTAAAATAAACTAATTAAAATTTTCCACTCAAGAGTGCAATACAGAATTCATACCTTGCTTTGCATAGAGTTTGAAATGAATTATCTTATTCACATTTTATAAATGGCGCCACTCCTTGTACATTATGCATGTTGTATACTCTTATATATAGGTATATAAATTATGTTTCAGCAATTTAAAAAGATTTTACAGATTAAAGAAATTAAAATTGAACATTTTACATCATTTGAATTGATTAGATGAAAACTAATTTTCCAATAATGTAAAAATTAATAACAAATATTAAATATCTATTAGGAATGTTATTGTCTAACCAAATACAAATATCCATTCTTCTTCCTAGTATACTAAATATTTATATAATCCTGCCGGGCATCAAATCTTACCCCCATTTTCAATTTTTCATCCATATATGCATCCTTACTTTTATCTTCATTTTCATTTCTATTCCTATCAAAATATTTCACTAACGGAAGGGGCGCAAACGCCCCCTTGGTTTCCCCCTGTATTCTCTTTACGAAAAGAAATCAAGACCAGTTAGTCAAATCTTGAAAACACAACTTGGACAATTCCATTTAGACCACTAGAAAAATATTGTCTGCCAGCACAATATGCTGCATCACGAGGTTCCAAGACGACGCGAATCCCAAAATAATTGACATCAGCTATGACTAAGCAAATGTCTTCCTCCTATCAACTATCAAAAGAAAAAGTGCATCTAACAAACGATCCAGCACTGGCGTAGTATCCTAAAAAATTGAAGACGTGTTGATCAAGAAAACATGCAAGAAAGTTAATTTTAGGCAGATAAATCATCAAAGAGGAATTATATACTTCAGAAAATGACATCATATCACCATCTTCAAGCATCCATGAATTTATATGAATTCAAAGTCAGTCTTGTTTGTTAGCAAGTTCCTGCAATTTGAGATGGCTTGCCCTTTGAGGATTAACTACTAACTACTAATTGTCCCAGTGTCTTGCACCGAACGGGACTATACAATGAGAATGGGAAACAACATATCATATGATAGTGATAGAGAAAACAACTAAAGTTGATTTACAGGTTGTAAGACATCAAAGGAAGATGAAGCACACATCAATGATATCACAAGTACATATCTAAAAAAGCTGTACATTCAAACCCATTGTTCCAGCAAGTTTTCAAAAGTTGAGCTTATAGTTCAACAGAGATAAAGTTATAATAAAGTTCTGCGGCAAAATTATGCAGGCATTATGTATATGGACACATGTATATGAAGATTCAAAGTACAGTGTTAGGGAGGATCTTGAAAACCTATCACAAGATCGCATTGGTTATGGATGCCCGAAACTATAACCAGAGGAAGAGTCGATAAAATTATACCCGCACATGAAAACCAAAAATCCTGGAAGGTGGGAAGTGAAAGTGAGCAATGCACCTGTAGAGGGAGGAACCTATGCTGGCACCCAACAGGAGGAAGCATAAATACTTCTGCCCTTCCAACCTTGTAGCATCCAATTGCCGCATTCATCAAGCATGAAATCTCTGTGGAACACTTCTCTCAACTTGCCTCTTAATTTACTGACCAGATGGTGATCCAAGGGCAGCTGCCCGAACCCTGCCTTCGTGTTCCGGACCTGCCATTGCTTGTACGTCTCAGGTCTCTCAGTCCTCTCAGACCCTTCACAAGCTATAATGTTCATTACCTCTCGTCCAAGATACTCCTTTTCAAACATCAACCTCATTGGATCTTCACCATCAGCATTAGTGTCAAGCATATCAAACATTGAAGAGTAATGGAAAAGAGCCTCCCGGAAACGTGTCACAAAGAATGGTGCATTATAGCACCCGTTGACTATAGTCTGCAAAAACATACTGGGATTTGCCTTCCTAATTAACTTCAAAACAGTGTCTCTAGGACTATTCACCGCAACTGTCTCATCAAGAAGATTCTTAAATCGCATCAGGCAATTCACAACCACGAGTTCACCTTTTTTTATCTTTAAGTCCTCAAGCTTGATGGTTTCCCATTTCTGTGCAATAGCATTATACTCAAATGGAACATTATAGCGCTTACAATACTTCTCGAGGCGCCGCCCGGTCTCCTGGACTCTCTCTGCCGGCCTCAAACCAGGTTGTGGGAGATCAATCCCTGTAATACGCAGCTTGGGGGGTCCACCAGTTCGTTTGGAGAGACGAAGGATAAAGGAAGGCCATTGGAAGCCATAACGAATGCCAAAATCTACAATGTGAAGCGTTTCTGCATCGTTGGCAAGATGCAAAATTGTATGGTTTGCAAAAATAACTGCAATTTTCTGGAATGGACAGGCTGTAATATACATTTTGTATGCTTTTACCATGTCTGCAGCAGAAATTCTTTTGGAGGACAAGGCAGAATGAATCTGAGAGCCAGTACCAGCCAAGCGTGCTTCAAGGGCATTTGCAAAGCAGTGGGCCAACCTCTGAGATCCGCTGCCCGTTGGGGAAGAATGCTGCCTAATCTGCTTTAATAGCTTATCAGCAGTCCCACGATCATCAGATGACACAGCTTGTGCACAATGAATAAGTAATGCCCTTAGATCGACCACTTCATCATACTTATTATTATTATAATTCTGCCTTCTAACACGGCTCTTTCCATTGCTAGACTTGTTTGGATCTTCATTTTTCTGCACGCCTGTGTGTGCTCCATGATTACAATTTTCATGGCAAATACACATGGGAGGTGCCTCTTTTCCCCAGCCTGTGCTAATAAGCACCTTATCAAATAATTCTGATAGCTCACTCTCATCTATGTAAACAGCTGGCTGCTTCCTGCTTCTCTCGTCCTCTAAATCTATCCCATCTTCCCGTTCGTGATTCTTCTTTCCTCTTGACTCAGCAGGTAAGTACTCCCTCTCATATCTCTCCGTCTTGACCACAGCCTCTATAGTCTTTCCGAATGAAGGAGAAATGATGTTGGGCGCTGTGTAATTATTCAAATGATTATCCTTGGGCAGAAACTTACTGGCTTCCTCCACACCTCTCTTAAATTGAAACAGAGACTCATTCTTACTAAGCAGTGTAGAATCAGAGAAGCCAGTCCCTGTCTTGTAATTCCCCACGAATCCATTATACTTACGACCAGAATTATCGGAGGTGCTCATATTGTCCGTGGAAAGTTGTGCTGCGGATGTTGAAGGAGACTGGAAAACGAAATCGACAGGAAACGTGGCTTGCAGTAGAGAAGGTTTGTACTCTGTAAAGTCCACGTTACTCCACTGGGACTCAACAGAGTAAGTACCGTTAGCAGCGTAACTGCCACTACTACTATGATCACTGATGTTGCCCGAGACACTTTCCTCGGAGATCTCCGCACGGTGATAGTCAGGAAGATGACGCTGGACGGAGGAATCGGAAGGGTATTTCTTCCCAATAACCTCGTATAATGATTCCTCGGCCGCTTGAAGAGCTAAGGAATCATGAAACATGCTGGGCTTGTCTCCCATGTCCTCTTCCATTAGCATTTGGTGTATGTACCCAAGCAAACTGCCAGAGAAGTCGGTCTCGTCCAAGGGAGAGTCAACGTCCGTGCTAACGGAAGACAGAGAAGCAGGAATTCCGGCAAAGCTGGCATCCACAGACCCAAAGTTCACGAAAGGGTCGCTTATTTGAATTTCATTTGCCGGACCAGTATACTGATCATAATTGAGTGTCATAGGCGTTTGGTTAGATTGATACCCGTTGATGAAACTGGAGATGCAATCGGAATCCATGGAAAAATATATGGTTCACGAATTCGCCTAATCTGTACTAAAACTAAATGGAACAGAATTCTGTCAACGACAGTTCATGCCCGAGAAACACGGAAGTCAAAACCAGAGCAAAATTGGAAGGGGGAAATCAGGGGATGCGGAGAAACCCTAGGGAACCGATGAATTTTCAGGGGCATGTGGTAAAATTAAAAAATTAAAGGAGATGTAAGGAGATTAAAGAACCTGGAAGGAATGAAATTTAGAGCAGAAGGAGGGAGACGCGGATATATGCAGGGGGAGGAGATAATATTGTCATTGTTTGAAGCACAGATAGCACGTCGTAGCAGCTGAACTTTCTTGGAACAATGACGAGAGGTCACAATGTCACAGACCGAGGATCTGCTGAGAAGAACAAATTCCCTTTCACACTGTCATGGGAGAAGAGAATGGTGCCAATACAAGTAGCGCGTGACATTTGCACGGGACACGTGGACTTTAATATATATATATTTTTTAATATAAGGCCTAAACCGTGAAAGGGGTTAGATCGTAATATTAAAATTGTCACCTGATGGTCTATCGGCCAGGATACCTATACAATTATTTACTTTTCCATAAACATGATTAGAGACAATCACCCAATTTCACGTGCACCTTTGATTTTGCGGGAAAGAGCCGCGGCATCCATCCTCCCTTCTAAATCCTCTGTGGCTCTGACGAATTTGAATTTCAGTATCAAACTACAACAAACACGTCTCGTCTCTATGTTTGTGCTATTGCTGGGATTCGAGATTTGGCTCAACGATCAGCACGTTGATTAAAATAATATAATCAATTTGTCAACTCTTTCTAATATATCTTTTGATTTATTTTAATAATTAACATTGCTTTGAATTTTTTTAATCGGTTAAAATAAAAGAAATTGCTTTAAAGGATCAAGACTAATTTAAAGATAAAATACATACTAGGTCTGATAATTTTGCACACCAAACTTATCATTTTAAACACCAAACATATCACTTTACATTCCAAGCCTTGCACCTTGCACATTAAATCCATGACCTTTTACGCCTATAATCTTATACCTTGTACATCAAGCATATTACTTTGCATCCCAAATCTATAATTTTACACGTCAAGTTTATTACTTTACAAATCATAAAAGTAAACTTTCATGAAAATATAACATTATTTTGAAAGTGATAGTTTACAAAAAAAAAATAATATTGACAATGAATTGTTTAATCCACAAATATATAAATTACATGGCCTTTTTGAAGGTTAACTAATTTTATTGTGTAAAGTTGTGAGCTTGAAGTGCAAGGTAATAAAGCTTGATATGTAAGGTAACAGATTTAGTATGCATTTAGTCTTTAAATTAATCTTGAGCCCTCTAAATAATTTCCAACTAAGAAGAGATTTTACGACATTTTTTTAAAAAATAATCATTAATGTTGAAAAAAACAAATCAGCATTTCCAAAGAGACACAAAGTCTCATGGGATTCACACATGGAATTAATAAGGCTGAGGGCCCCACGTGTTTTGTTTCGTCGAGGCCAGAGATGTGCGTGTGGAAATTTGGTTTACCTTTACTAACATTGAAAGGAACCCCACACGTATCGTAATGTGAGGGCAGATAAATGCAAGTGTTTTGAGATTGGATTTCCGTAGTCTTATCCCAACATTGGTATGATGAATTTGATTTCCGGTTGGAATTTGGAAAAGGAAGTTGACTGATGCATTTTGAGAGTCCAAGCCTCCAAGGTTAGCTGCCGGGTTATTTCATCAGAATCGGGGGCGGGGGGGGGGGGGTCACGCAAAATTTTTCAAGAAGATACTAGTTCATTATCTGCTCCTTTTAAGTCCCAGGACTTTACTTTTACACATTCCATTTGTTATTCCTACCTTTTTCTAAGTTCTATATTATATATACGTATATACAGGGCAACGGATTGACCAACGATCAAATTGATGATCAGCATCACCTTTCTACAATCAAATAATACCCAATCAATGTTTTTTGTGGCCTCCCCCCCCCCCCCCCGGGGGAGCTTCCTGATTCCTTCCAAAAAAGACAAGAAGAAGTGTATCTGACCATCTCCTTAGTCTTTATCTTTATTTTGAGTCAAAACCGTGTCCCCTGGCCCTACCACTCGCACTTTACTCTGTTTTTAGTGCTCCTACCGAACTTCTCCACACTTTCCTTTCCTTTAAAAAATCAACGTCCCAATATCAAAGCTTCATGTCACATCCTGAAATTCTACCCTTAGATTAGGTAAATAAAATAAGGTTAAATAAGTAAAATTTATGATTAATTAATTTAAGGATGGTTTGAAATGACTAATAAATTTATTAACCTTATTTTTAGCCTATAAATTAGATTCGGTGATGTTTTGAGCCGTTTGCGCCCAAAATTAAGGAGTTAAATTCGGATTGGTCATTTTGTGCCATTCGCCATAGTGAAGGGCACAATTCCCCATAAAAACAGGCGAGATTTTAAATTAGAAACTCACGTAAGCGAGTTGCAAAGCAGAGAAAGAATGAGAAAGAGATAGCAACGGAGAGAGGGAGATTTCTATTAGGGCAACGATTTTGGAGCGCTTGGAAGTTGTTTAATGCTTAATTCCACTCAAGTATGTTTTCCTCTTGCCTCTACACATTTTAGAACTGGGCTTTAAAGTTAGGGCATGTTATTTTCAAACCTCTTGGCAATGGGTTCAATCCCATTCATTCTAGCAAAATTAATGAGAGTTATTTTACTTATCTAAACCTAGTTTCAAAAATTTTATAAGGTTATGAATTTGGAGCTAAGGTTTTAGACCAACCCTAGCTACTTAAAATCATTGGGTGTTGTAATTGTTGATATTTAAGCTAATAGGAACTGAATAGAGTTAATGGGAGTTAATAAATTCATTGGATAAGAGATCTAGATTATAGTTGTAACATTTCAAAAATCTTAACCCCAAATTAACCAAGTTAAATGAGTTTGGGTTAATAATTAAGGGTAATTGGGTAAATTATCATGGTATGTGGTTTAAGAAGGATAATGGGCCTATTAGGTTGTGGTTACAACTTTAAGATTGGGTCCAAAATAAAAATGGGCCACTTAGGCCTTAAAAAGGGGAAAAAATATGAGGAATAAATATTTGTGTCGTGGCATGTTTGTTGTGTGACACAACGTAGAGGCCAAAATAAATGAAGTAAGCTCTCTGTACTATATGCCGTGACATATCATTTTGTGCCATACACGCGACGTAACCAGCGTGCACCATGGCTCACAACCAGATTTTTAGATTTATGATATGCAAGTTTAGTACAAAGAAGGAGAGAAAATAGGAGAGTTTGAGCAAGAAGGAAAAGAACACAGAGAGCTCTACTAGGGCATGAATTATGATGCCATTTATGAGGTACCTAAAGCTTCCAATCTCTATTAGCAAGTATCCTAAGCATTAATCTTCCTTTCTCTTCCATTTTTCTTGAGTTTGGAAGTTAAGGTTTGGTAGAGAAGTTGATTTTTGAACTTATAAGACTTATTAATTTAAATAGAGTTAATAAGAGTTGTTTGAGATATTCAAACCCTAAAAAGAGCCATAAATGTGTTTTTGTTAGTTAGAGACCATATATGCCTGAAAATCCATAATAAATGTAATAGTTGGAGTAGTGTGGTGCTATTAATGGTTGGTTGGGAGTTCAATGAGGTTAATGTGACCTAATGGGAGTTAATGAATCTAATGGGTATGTTAAAAAATGAAGAAGTTATGATTTCAAGAATTTCAAAGTGTTGAGTTGAGGAGTGAGAGTTGTGAAAATCATAATATTGATAATTTTAGTATGTTAATTTGTAGATTAAATTAGATACCAGTACCATTCAAACTTTGTGAAGCTTTGAAAGTGTGTACTTGAAGAGTAAATTTTTAACCTTTTAAAGGTTTGAGGTAACCGAGAAAAATCTTCTTATACTTTTATGTATTAATTAGTTACTTTGATTATTAAACTATTATTATAACTTGTGAAATTGGTTGTAATGCAAGTGCGGCATGTGATATTTAAACAATTAATTGATGATAATGATTGATGAATTTGTTTAGGAGTGATATGTGTGTTATAATGACACGACAAATGACAATTTGCAATGGTAATCTACTAAATTGCAAAAGTGGAATACATAAATATATGTGTTTTTTAAAAAGATTAAGAGATTGATGATCAATTGTGATTGTATGACAAATGGAGTTCAATGATGAATTGTAATGTGAAATTCAAGATAAAACAAAATGGTATGAGTACTATGGTTATGTTAGGCATACCCATACTATGGAAATTATGCATGCAGTGAAATGTTGCATTTATGCATTGCATAATCATGTAAGATAGGAATTCACTTAGGAAGAAGAGTGGAGATTGGAAACCCATATGGTATGGCCACCATTTAAAGCTTGATGGCTTGCCTTAATCTATTTATGCATTATTTTCTTACTTATTCAACTAGTGATTGTCCCATGAGTATCTAGTGACTTGAACCTAATCTAGTTTTTTACTTGTTCGATGAGAAGCTAATTTAAGGAGAATGACACTCCATAATGTGAGATTTAAGAGCAACTGTAATACATAAGTGAGTTAAATAATCTTAGTTGGTAGTTTCTCACAAGTGAAAAGCTATAGTAGTCTCATCACATGGATGAGCCCATTTTGTAATAGATCATAATTTCATGTTGAAGGCATAAGGAGGATATAAAGGAGGTAGTAATCATACATATTATTGTTAGCAGGGTACATGGCTGTCTGTGTTATGACCCTTGTGATGAAATCATATGAAATTTATCATTAGCTTGCAAAATGTGAAAATGGGATTTGTGATTGGTAAGTTGATGTAAATATAAAAATGTCAAGCCACTTGCATTTTGTAATTAATTAACATCCATCAAATGTACCTTGATTACTGAGTGATTATACTCATTTTTTTTCTTTAATATCATATGAGTTAGCTCATCAAGGCAAGGTCAAGGAAAACAACTTGAGCTTCAGGATATTCATCTTAAAGTTGTATGTCTTATTTATTTTGCAAACTATGTGTCTAATTTAATATGATATTTTCAACTAAGAAATTTCACGTTTTACTTATTTTCACTATGTGATCATTAAAGTAAGATGTGTATTTTAGGCCTTAGGTTATATATGTATTAAATTATGAAATATAAAAAGGGCCAAAATATTAGTGCAAGTGATAAGTGAGAAAAATATGTGATTGATAATGAATGATAGATAATTTATGAAATTAAGGCTCTCATTTTTGCTTTTTGAACAAAGGGTTGAGCATTAAAAAATGATTAATGTCCAATATGTATGTCGTGGTGTATTGCATAGGTGTCCTTATGTCTATTGAGTATGGTGTAGGGTCAAGTTTAGGCATTTGACACTTGGATTGAAAATCATACACC